GCATTAAAATTCGAATAGGTGTTTTCGGGTAAAAAATTGGATTGCCCAATTAAATTCGGCAATGGCTGATGTGGCTTGGTTCCTTTCTGCTTAAAGCGGTCCCAATTGGAGGAGAGCGGTGCTCTTGAACAAGGCGATCGGCTCATAATCCGGGGACGTCAGCTCAAAATGAAGCCGAGAGATTTCGCGGCCGTGACAGCTCCTAAGTGGGAGAACAAACAAATCCCTCGCGAGCAAGATGGACTCGCAGCTCCGCTCCCGACCTATCCAAAACAAATACGTGTGCTAGGGTCGCCAAAGGCTCCTCTCTGACAGCGTTGTCGCACTCGAAAATATTTCAATTTGAGATTTTCAACTAGTTTTCACAGCAAAAATTGGATTGCATTTTGCAAAAAGGAACCACTAGCATTGCAATGATGCTAAGATTGCGCAACTTCTTCCTTTGCAATAAAATTGCGGAAATCGTGAAAAACTATGGTAATATAATAATGTGTATGGTAATTTTTGTCTTAAATTCACAGTTTTTAGCGAGTAAAATAGAAACTATTAATGGATAATTGGGTTTTCCCTCCGAGACGAAAGAAGTTCCACAATCTTGGCAACATTGCAATGCTGGTGGTTCCTTTTTGCAAAATGCAATCCAATTTACAGTTGTCATCAGTGGCGAGGCGTGAATGATCGATTCTCGATATTTCCTCATTTAAAACTATGGTAAAGAATCGATTATCAAGGTGTTCGTTGCGAAATTAATCGGTCCTTTTTCACAAGATTAAATGGACTGCATTTTGCAATTTGGAACTATAAATTCTGGCCCGGTTTAAAAACAACGTATGTGCCTTTAGTTTCCCTATGCACATAAGTGTTTTTTAAGATGAGCAAGAATTTATAATTCCAAATTGCAAAATGCAGTCCAAATGGCAGATCAATCGATATATTGCATAGCAAGCCACGCAACTCCACTGAAAAAAAAATCTCGGCGTATTTACTGAGAAAAGGGTAAAATTACTAAGAATTCAGTGTTCTTTTTGATCCCACTTTTTTCTTGGTAAAATTACCATTTATGGAATTGGTAATTTTACCGAGAAATCTCGGTAAAATTATTGAACTTTCTAGGTAATTTTACTGGACCGTGGTAAAAACACCGATATTTTTTATCGACTGTGGTAGAATTACCGAGATAAAATGGCAAAGTTACCGGGAATTGATTACCAATAAAAGTGGTATTCTTACCTGAGAAAAACAGTAAAAATACCGGTTTTAGGTAAGTTCACCAGTCTGTCTTGGTAAAATTACCAATAATTGGTAAAAAAAGTAAGTTGGTAAAGGTACCAACGGACCTTAGTAAAAACTCCGAGAATTTTTTTTCAGTGTATTTCCTCATTTGAAGCTATGGTAAAGAATCGATTATCCAGGTGTTCGTTGCGAAATTAATCCTTTTTCATAAGATTAAATGGCAGATCAATCGATATATTGCATAGCAGGCCACGCAACTGGTTGCCATTTAGTTTGAGTTCCGAATTACTGATTCAGTAACCTTGAAACGGGCTACTAAAATTATAAGGAATAAACCACCTGAAGATTACCTAAGTAGATGCGATCGCGATAAGTTGCGATTTGATCGGAGGGTGTATTGCCATTTTATCGACATCGATTCACTGTATAATTGTTGGATGGTAAAATTGCGATTATATCCCATAAAAACGCGCCAGTTGTGAACGGGTGGTTAGGATCAGGTTCCGTCACATCGTCGCTCCTCCGACGTAAGGGCGTATTTCCACGTGAGCCCTATTTTCCGTATAGCTTCATGCGTTCCGGGGCTCATGTGAAAATCGAGATACGCCCTTACGTCAGAAGAGCGACGACATGTAATTTGGCGGATTAGCGTCGGACATGTTGAATATTGCGTAAAATCCTAGTACGCAGGGTTTGGATGGAGCTCCTCTTACGAAATCTTGTGTGCAGATTGCGAAGTCAGAAGTGTATTTCAGACTTTGCCGTTGCGCTCTTCGTAATGTTTGAGACATTTTCTAGGAGAGCTAATTCTTATTTTTGCTCTAGCAAAAGTTTGCAACCGGCCCATTCAGCAATAGGGGCCTCGGGACAATATGTGTAAAGGTTTTTAATGAAGTGAGGATGATTGATTAGGTTAAGTTCGACCTGTTGAGGTCATTTTGTCAGTGCACTGCGATTGAGAAAGCGCCTTCAATTTTGGAGGAAGCAATAAGGACGTCTGCTGAACACGAATAGTTGCATTCAGACAACACGTGTAAAACTGAAGGCTACTTTGTTTTCTTCCTCTCTATCAAAAAACACAGTCCTCATTTTCTCAGCAGCACCATAAGATGGGTATTTTATTGAGACACTTTTTAGGTTGAACTTTCGGGATTTTGTTGGTGAAAAATAAACATCGCAGACATTTTTGGGAAACGTTAAAAAATATTTTCGTCCAGCGTATAATATTTGGTATCCTCTTCCGATTTTCATTCAGCGCACCCTATTTACTTCATTAGTTTCCGGGTTCAATGATCAGAGAGATAAAATTGTTCAGTTTTTATCGACTGAAACTTACCCCTCGCTAGATAGCGAATATATATACCAAGATCCAATTGAATCCGTCAATCTCAAAAAAAACTTAAGCGCAAAAGATAAAAATGCAAGAAAAATGGAAAATGCTGTTTAATCAACCCGTATTAAATCTTAGATGAAGTAATAACGTATTTGATCAATTGAATGCTTCAATATTATGGATCTATGATGCAATTTGGAACGGATTGATTCAAACTTCAATTGGAGTTAAATTCATTTGAATGTGCTTTGAGATGAAGGTTTTTTTTTCTCAGGACGCAGAACTTTCCCCAATCAGCTTATAAATACTGAGTGTCATATTGCCGTGCTAAGGAAGAACGCCGTATGAGCCGTCGGACGTTGCCAAGTTTCATCCGATAAAAACCGAATTTACTAGGAAAATTGTGAATATTATCTTCCCAAAATTTCATACAATTTTGTACGCAATTTCATCTAAAATATCTGAATATTTCAAGTAATCAAGGGAAATTTGGCAACTCTCGGCAAACTCTAGGGCATTTATTTTTAGCGCTGAATCCGGAAATGGTCTTGTTTTTTTATGACCCTCGCATGTACCAGAAAATGGGGCACTTTCAGGAAAAATATAATTTTTCGGAAATTTGGTTTGTAATTGAGGTAAACCAAGTGATTTACGGATTTAGTACTCATAAATAGAGATACCTTTATTTTTAATTTAAAAAATTTAAAAGAATGTATCCGGTGTCTGCCGAGTTGCTCTCGCTTATTTCTTGCTCTGCAGGCCAAAAATGACCTTCGTTGTTTTTCATCACTCATCAATTACCCAGAAAATAATTTTCTTGTGTGAAAAAAACACGTATTTTGGCAGGCAAAGAAGACATTTATTCGTCCTAATTTCAGATACAACAATCTCCTCTCACATTTCACCCTTTGCAGATTTGATGTGCAGCAGCGGACTTGACATCACGGTAGAGCATACTGCCGTGCTAAGGGAAAACGCCGTATGAACCTTCAGGCGTTGCCAAATTTCCTCTGAAAAAAATACGAATTTATTGGGGAAATTGTGAATATTTTTCTTCCAATTTTTCAGACTCTTTTGTTCGCAATTTAATCTGAAATATTTGAAAATTTCAAGGAAAAATATGCATAAATTTCGTCAAAAATACATGGTTTAATCCAGGGAAATTTGGAGACTCTAGAATGTTCATGCGGCGTTTTTCCTTACCACGGCGGCATAATTGCTAGATAGCGCTGAAAAATCAGTACTTATCCCTATTTGGATTGCATTTTGCAAAAAGGAACCACTAGCATTGCAATGTTGCTAAGATTGTGCAACTTCCTTGGTCTTGGAAAAAAACCCGATTATCCATTGACAGTTTCTATTTCACTCGCTAAAAACTGTGAATTTAAGACAAAAATTACCTTCCAAATTTCATAGTTTTTCACAATTTCCGCAATTTTATTACAAAGGATGAAGTTGCACAATCTTAGCATCATTGCAATGCTAGTGGTTCCTTTTTGCAAAATGTAATCCATTTAACCTATTTAGACAGGGTTGTAACAAATTTTATCGCACAGCCTGGCAACCTTGCGGTGGAGGGACGTGTACAGCGGAAACGAAACTGACGATGTCAAAATATTTAATTACCACGTCCGTGCTGGATGCGTAGGGTAATGGATACGTGAACTGCATGCGCGTGTTTGTGGCAGGCTCCTTTGCGCCGGAAATAGAGACACCCGACTGTGTAACTTCCGTTTCCGTTTGCTTTAGATGGGCAGTCTTGCCAGGGCTTGGGATAGAATCCACGCCCTGTACAATGACAGCTAGCTAATAGTTGTGTGGTTGCTCTTTCCATTCGAAAATGATGTGGGATAATCTCCAATACTGCCATGCTGAAGAAGAACGCCGTATGAGCATCTGAAGGTTTTTTTTATTATTATTATTATTATTTTTTTTTTTGGAACAAAAAGTGGTTTTATTTGTTTTCTGACAAGAAGGAATTATGAGGGACATGCACTGGAAAAAACAACACATTGGATCTAAAGTCTAGACTCTTAAAAACATCGACAAGAAAAAATAACAGTGGAACAACAAAGATGAAAAAAACGGGAAACAAGGCTAAAAATACACAATTATGAAACCCGAGACGTTTCGACTCAACACTGAGTCATTTTCAGTCGGAAACAATAAAAAATTTTANTCGGGTTTCATAATTGTGTATTTTTAGCCTTGTTTCCCGTTTTTTTCATCTTTGTTGTTCCACTGTTATCATCGTCTCGGGCTGCTCCTAAAAATTTGTATCTATCAAGAAAAAATAATCTAGATTCAATCAGATTTAAGCTTAAATCAAGAACCAAGCCTCTTAATTTGAGCGGATTTCCTTTTGATTTAAGCTTAAATCTGATTAAATCAAGAGTCCTTTTTCTTGTCAATGTTTTCAAGAGTCTGGACTCTAGACCCAATGTGTTTTTTATTCCAGTGGGTCATAACCCAGAAGGCCTACTTGTTAAACTCTAATTAATGAGTCCTAAGCATATGAATGTTGCCTTTCCTTTAAGAAAATATATATTTTTGAAAGAAAATTGTGAATATGTTTTCACAAACTGATTGCAGTACTACCGTGCTATGGAAGTCCGCCGTATGAACATTCGAGAGTTGCCACATTTCCATCGATAAAATGTTCATTTTCGAGGAAACTTGTGCATAGTTTCCCTTGATATTCTCAGATCTTTTGGGTGGAATTGCAAGCAAAATTATCTGAAATATTGGAAGAAAAAGATTCATAAGTTGACCAGGAAATTTGTGTTTTATCAAGGGCAGTTTGGCAACGCCTGAAGGTTCATACGGCGTTTTTCCTTACTACGGCAGAGTAGACACACGGATCATTTAGACAGAAAAAGTTGGTGATGTAGTCAACGTGCGTTAAAAATCAGCATGAAGCTAAAATTCTCAATACGCAAAGGGAAAAAGCTCACATGAGCACAATTTTACCTCAATGAGATGTGCTGTTTGGTGCAATACTAGACCTGAATTAAACCCGAAACGCGTCTGCAGTTGCCTTACTGAATGGTCGTAACAGTGTTGCAACAAACAGCACATCTCATTGAGGGAACATAGTGCTCATGTGAGATTTTTCCCTCTGTATTGAGATTTTCAGCTTTATGCTGATTTTGAATGAACGCTTGCTACATCACCATCATTTTCTATCTGAATATTTTATCTTGAAAATTGCAGACTATACAGATCAAAATACGAAAAAAATCCAATGAAAAATCAGAAGAAAAATTTAACTTTTCCCAATAATACCCGATGATTTATTAAAAGAGATTTGGAAATGTTTGAAGGACCGTACTGCGTTTTTCCTTAGCACGGCAGAGTACATCGATGTAGAGCATGGTCGGAATGAATATCCACACGAGGGAGTGGGGCTGCCCTACCCTCTCTATAAATTTACTTCTTCGTAAGTATATTCTCGGAAATGTTAACAAATGACCCTGGTAAAAATTGGCGATAGGAGCTGCGTTTCAAAATACCATAGGATTTCTTATAGCCGACTAAAGAAGGCTATTGAAAATCATATAGCTGGCTGTAGAAAGCGGAGCAAATCATATAGCCGGGCTATTCGAAGCTATAAAAAAGTATACAGTCAGGCTATAGTTCCTATCGCCGGGCTTTACACTTTATCGCCATTGGCTATAAAAGGCTATAGGAAATCGTGTAGAAATTCGTGTGCTTTGGAAATCATTATAAGTTTGATACGGAACTACCTTAATATTTACAAAACACACATTATATTTTCCTTTGAAACATATTTTTTTTCATCAATTAAAATGAGAATAATATATACAGAGTGTGCAAACATTTCAAAATCATGAGTTGAAAACCGCTGACTCCGCGAGATTAAATATTAGAGCTTAACACAAAACACAAAGCGGAGCGGCGACGTACTGCCGCCTACAAACCTAACAGGGATACTTCACGCATTGGGCAAACGCGCATTGACGCCTACAAACCTAACAGGGATACTTCACGCATTGCGCAATGCGTGAAGTATCCCTGTTAGGTTTGTAGGCGTCAATGCGCGTTCCGCGCTCTCTGCCCTTAATCGCCATCGGCTATGAAAGGCTATAAGAAATTGTATAGCCGGCTAAAAAGGCTATTGGAAATCTTACAGCCGGCTTTAGGTCTATAGTATTTTGGAACACGCATTCTACTGCCAATTTTTACCAGGGGAGAGTGCAACATATTCTTCATCTTTACAATTGTAACTTCACCTATTTGTTGGCAAAAACAGCTCAGAATTTTTCTTAAACCCCTCATTTTTTCAAGCATTTCCGATAGAGGCCCCCCTAACGTCCCCATTTGAAGCTATAACGTCACCTTCCGGCCAAAGTATCACAAGCGCCATGCGACGTTTCAAAATTTCCACCGCCATTTTATTTTTTTACAGAGCAATTGTTGGTTGAATCTGTTTGAAAATTTCACTGAATGGACCACTAGACAAGGTACGAATGTAAGGATTCTGAAACACGTTTCTTGACCAGAATTTCACGTAGAACACGATTCTTGCATCGAAAATTACCGAAATCATTTCCCATCTAAGATATTAACATTTTTATTTTACATTGGTTACGGGAAATTTGAATCGCCCGATCACACGAAACTCAACACTCTACGTTAGTCCAATCGCGTACTTCAACGGTTTCGGCAGGCTCTCAATCCAGCACTGTTCATTTCCCACTCTGCGTTGTTCAAACTATAAACAACTTGCTACAGCTGAGCAAAAGCGTCAAGATTGAGGTTGCGAGATTTTTACATCGCATAGAGTGTCGTGGTAATTTTTAGCGTGCGATTTGACTCACGTAGACTATTGAGTTTTCATGAGCGGGAGGTTTGAATTCACGCGTGAAGAAACATTAAATATATTGGTTAGGAGGTAATAACAGTAATTTTCGTTGCGCAGAACGTATTTTACGTAAAATTTTGGTTAAGAAACATGTATCAGAATGCTTAATTTTGTACCATGTCTAGTGGTCCATTTTATCGGCAGCACCAAAAATTTCGGTGAAATTTTCGGACAGCTTCGTTGAACAGTGTCTCTGTAAAAAAATAAAATGGCGGCGAAAATTTTGAAACGTCGCCTGGCGCTCGTGATAATTTGACCGGAAGGTGACGATATAACTCCCCCGGACCCCTTTTTGGAGCTGAGATAGTTACAGAGATCCCTCTTGACGGGGTGTCTTTTGGTGCCCCCTAGGCCTCCCTTGATGAGGTGTTTCTCAGTGGCGTGGCGTGAATTGCGATGTATCGATTGTTATACCATTTAAACCTATGGTAAAGAATCGATTATTAGGGTGTTCGCTGCGAACACCCTGTTTATCGATCATTTTCCATTGGTTTAAATGGCATAACAATCGATATATCGCAAAGCACGCCACGCCACGCCACTGGTGTTTCTCTATCCCACCTTCACCAAAAGTTCACGTGTCCTCTCATGATCTAAAATGAAACACACCGGCGTAAAAAGGTCAAAAGCTCAAAGGCTTTCACGAGAGGATACGCTGAGCCAGAGTCCACCCTCCGGTCTGAGCAAAAATGATTTTGTGTCAAATTTTATGGGTATCACGGTTTTGGAACAGTGGGTGACACGGAATTTGTCTAAAAACTGAGCCAGGCACAGCTTCATTTCCATGTAGGCGAATCGCATTCCTGAAACATAAAGTGTTTCGTTTTATTATTGTTCAGCACGTCAAAATTTCTTGAAAAATTTAAGTTAATTTATTTTTAACCTGACCACTTCTCGACGAGAGTTGTTTTTCCTGATTCTCGAACTATTGACGACGACAGCTATTTAAGGCAAAAATTATCCATAGGTTTAGAGTTTCCTCAGGTTATTATGTGATAGCAACGAGGCTTAGCGACCATCGGATAATGTCGGATTTGTCTGAACTATTCGAATACGTTTGACACAATGAAAATAACTCGAATTTGCGACATTTCAGCCGTTTAGCGATGACTGTTATGACTTCCATAATCAGCTGTCAAATTCAGCCCGTGCTTCCGGCAATACGCTGAATTTGACAGCTGAATATGGGAGTCAATAGTCATCGCTCAACAGCTGATATTTAGTAAATTTTAGTTATTTTCATGTAGATCTGTAACAAATCCATTCGAACAGTTCAGACAAACTGATAACTGCTGAGCTTCGATACTCATCGGAGACGTGATTTTGCGCGTGTGGATCGAAATTCAGGCATTGGACCGACGACCTCCAAAGCCACATTCAGCTCCCATATTCAGCGTGTGATTCCCGTTTGACAAGAACGGTGAGCGTGTTCAACCGGTAATTAAGCTCAACTATTGGTTTACCAACGACTAGTTAAAACGCAAGGTGACAAGAACGGCCCTTAGTAGGGACGGCACAATATTTACCGTCACCACATTGCACTCTACAATTATAAAACATTACACAGGGGGTGACAAGGATAATTTTTACGTAAATACCACCGAAACGTTTCGGTTGGAAACTCAGCTTTCCTTGTTGGGATAGAAACAGTAAAAAATTGTAAAAATCCAAAAACTTTAATTTTTACAATTTAGCGTTCTCCGATATTCATTTTAGGGGTCCTTTCCCCCTCATTTCTCGACAAAAACCCTGAAAATCGCGGTAATAACCGCCGTCCATTTTGGCGAAAGTTGTCGGGCATCGTTACTCTCAATACGGGCCACTTTGACATAAACGCTGGACGCTGCGACCGCGTGCCCAAGTGGATCTAACCATCTTTGCCTGGTCAACTCGGCCGCGCGGCATGCAGCCAGCGTCACTACCTGCCGGTTTCCGATCTGCCCAACAAGTTGGTTGCCGCGGTTTTCTGTAGTCAAAGATGGTCGAACCGACCATCTTCACGGCTGCACGAGACAACCTTTTTTTCCCGTGGTGTACAGCTGACGAGTGACCGATTAACGCATGATAGTAAGACGTGGCTCGCGTTGCCTCGAGGCTCGACAGAAATCCGATTTTAAGTTTTCAACAGTTTTAAGTGTTTTTAAAGTGTTTTTTAGAAGTAATTTCATTCAATGTTGTGACAAGGTGATACGCGATATTACGGAATATATTTGCAAGGAAACTCTAGACATGAATATCGGTAACTTCTGCCCAAAAAGATGTCACCATCGATGGATTGGGAATAAGGGAAAACAACACTCGTCGAGCGATTATCAGGGTAAAAATAAATTTACTTTTTCAATAACATAATCTGCTCTAATCAAGGATACAGCCATCAAACTTAAACGTTGAAATCTATCTTTTGCTGATGTGTTAAACCTGTTTTTTAGAAATAATTTCATTCAATGTTGTAACACGGTGATACGCGATATCACGGAATATCGCGAGGAAACTCTAGACATCAATATCGGTAACTGCTGCCCGAAAAGATGTCGCCATCAATGGATTGGGAATAAGGAAAAACAACACTCGTCAAGCCATTATCAGGGTAAAAATAAATTTAATTTTTCAATAATATAATCTGCCCTGATCAAGGGTTCAGCCATCAAACTTAAACGTTGAATTCTATTTTTTGCTGATATGTTATAATCTCAACGTATACGGGGTGTTTCCCCCTTTAACTATTGAACGATTAGAGATAAAAAAACGAAACTTCGGGAATGTTTCTATCTCAAAAAGGACAATCTTCGGGGGGNGGGGGGGGGGGTAAATGCTTAAAAGCTCCTGAAACCTACGGCTCACTAGCAGTTCCAAATTGTGTAATGTCATTTTTTTTATACTTGATCTCTTTAGTAACGGGAATTGGACTTCAGATGGGCCGATTTTTTTTTTATTATTTTGTCAAAAAGCTTCATAGAGACTGTTGATAATAATTTCATGCGTAAATTAAACTCGGCTCAAAGTCCCAAGTGTAATAGTTTAAAAAAACGATGAATTGCGATTACAGAATAATATTATTGATCGCGCGTCGGAGTGTCGCGTGTGTTGCCTATCGACTAAATGAAGGGATTTTTTACGTTGAATTTTATCCCGATAAAATCGAAATATCAGAATTGGTGTACTTTTTATTTCAGCATTGCATATTGTCCATATTTTGTATACATGTAGCTTTACTTACCTTGTAATCGTTTAAAATTCACGTATTGCCCAAATGATGTAAAAATATTGCCACGCATGGTAAAAAAATGCAGAGACGGATCCAGCAATTTGGCAATACCGGGTTCCTTCCATATTAACCCATGTTAAATAATCGATTCTTCCCGGAGCACCTGGTCCCTTAATGAATCGATACATTTCCATAGGTTTAAACGGAGAAAAAAATGTTGCCAATTTTCTGGATCCGCCAATGAAAAAATTGCACTCTCGTCTCAATGTTTTTCCGCCGAAGTAGTGCTTGCGAGCATTTCCGGCGTGTCGCACCAAAATTTAAAATTAAGAGATGGATTAGTTTTAGCCGGTCGGCTCCTCTTTTTACCCATCTTGCAGTGGCGTGACGTGCTTTGCGATACATCGATTGTTATGCCATTTAAACCTATGGAAAAGGATCGATAAACAGGGTGTTCGCAGCGAACACCTTATTAATCGATTCTTTACCATAGGTTTAAATGGCATAACAATCGATACATCGCAATTCACGCCACGCCATCTTGAAGTATTCCGAATAAATAGAGCCTGATCGGCTCTACCTAGTACCCGACGGTTTCGTGGCAGATCAGCAAAACAACACAGGAAATGTGTTATTCAATAATAATTTTTCTAGTTTTACTAAGCTCTTCCAAATTTTTCTTGTGCAGTTTGTTTACGAGGAAAAATGTTTCTATGGATCTTGGCGTTCCCTTGGAAATTTTGAAACCACCTAGTGCGACAAAAAAAAAAAAAAAAAAAAAAAAAAAAAAAAAAAAAAAAAATCTCAATGTTTTTGTTGATACAGTAGACTCTGGATTATCCGGATCGATATTGCAACCATGTAACTACGTACGCATTCCGATAAGTGAGCGGATCCGCGGAGAAGCGGTCGCAAGGCATATTGGCGCCTGCAAGGCTGAAGAAATACTTCACGCATTGCGCCAAACAGTGAGGTCGGCGTGGAACGCATTAGCGCCTACTAGATTGCATAAATACTTCTCGCATTACGCCAAACGCAGTGCAGTCGGTTAGTTAGCCTAAAACGCACATTAGCGGCTACAAGACTGTATGAATGCTTCACGCATTGCGCGCTTTAATCGTTGTATTGTAATTTACCATTCACAATCACCATTGAGTCGTTTAATTTGGCGTTAACCTTTTAAATTCGTGTTGGTATGTACATTATGTATACATAATAAGAATACTGTGGTGTTGGTTGGTGGTGTTTGTGTTTACTATTATATGTAATCCGAATTTTGTTTTCATCCGGATCGGGCCCGGCATCAATTAATCCGGATAATCCAGAGTCTACTGTATGTGCTACTTAAATAATTTTCATACCGATGCAGATCCTGGGCCCGTCTCCAAATGGGAGGAAGGTGAATTTGGGCCTACTCAGGCAGTTTTCGGGAGAAAATCGCTCCGGATCGAAAACTTGAGGGTTAGGGTAGTACTGAGGATCGCGGTGAATGGCAAAGACAGGAATCTTAATAGCTGTGCCGCTTTCAATCACTAGTTTTGTCCCTGCAATTTGCGTTGTTTGGTTGCAAACCCGGTGAAGATTCATGATCGGAGGATATTTCCTGAGGGTCTCTGGAAGAACAAAGCAAGTTAGTGATTTCCCTGGAAAAAAATCTCTGTGTATTTACTAAGAGAAGGGTAAAATTACCAGGAATTCAGGGTTCTATTTGATCCCAGTTTTTTCTCGGTAAAACTACCATTTATGGAATTGGTAATTTTACCGAGAAATCTCGGTAAAGTTATTGAACTTTCTCGGTAATTTTACTGGACCTTGGTAAAAACGCCAATATTTTTTATCGACTGTGGCAGAATTACCGAGATAAAATGGCAAAGTTACCGGGAATTGATTACCAATAAAAGTGGTATACTTACCTGAAAAAAAAAAAACAGTAAAAATACCGGTTTTTAGGTAAGCTTACCAGTCTGTCTTGGTAATATTACCAATAATTGGTAAAAAAAAAGTGAGATGGTAAAGGTACCAACGAACCATGGTAAAAACGCCGATAATTTTTTTTCAGTGTAGTTGGGCGAATAAAAACAATTGACTACGGCTTATTTTTCTCTATACCTTAAGGTGATTTGATGGACGCCATATTTTGTGTCAGAACGACATGCGATATATCGCATTGGTTGGTTCCATTTTCTCAGCTAGTCGTCAATTTTCTCATATTTTGAGATCGCAAATCTGTCGCCAGGAGGCTAAATAATTCACGTATCAATTTTGACGACCAAAAACGTACTGAAGGCGTGGTTTTTTCAGAGGAGGAATATTGCATTCGAGTGTAGTCTCGATACCAGTGTCGAATGCGATATTTTTCCTCTAAAAAAAACCACGCCTTCAATACGTGGAATTTGGTGGTCAAAATTGGACGTATTTCCGTCAAACGGAACTATGTGCATTATGACGTAAGTCCTATTATGTATATATTCTTATGGGTCCCAGAGCTCGTGTCTTAATGCACATAGTTCCGTTTGACAGAAATACGTGCAATTGATATGTGGATTCTTTAGTCTCCTGCCAACGAAATTGCGATCTCAAAATTCGAGAAAAATGACTGAGAAAGTGGAGCCAATCGATGCCAAATTTCCCTCGATAAAACATGTATTTTTGACAACATTCGTACATTTTTTTTCTTGAGATTTTCAGATATTTTTAATGGAATTGCGTACAAAATTGTCTGAAAATTTTGGAAAATAATATTATCAATTTTCTTAGTTAATTCAGTTTTTATCAGAGAAACGTTGGCAACTTCTGAAGGCTCATTGTTCTTCCTTAGCACGGCGGTATTCCCTTGACTGTGACTTATTGGACTAAATTCAACGACGAGGGGCTAGTGAACACTAGTCCGTCATTGCTGCATTTATAAGACTAGTTAAGTATTTAGTTAATTTAAAAAACATTGTTGTTTTCCTACATGTGGAAATATGGCACACACACATTTTTCTTAAAATGAACTAGAAATATTAGTTCCTGATTTGCAAAATTCAATCAAATCCCAAGAGGGCATTTGAATGTATGTGAAGAACAGTGTAGCTGCAGTCAAAAATGAAAATGTTCCTCAAAAATTCAATATGTTATTAAAATAAAACTAATTTTTTAAAGGAACTCCGTGTAAAATCGCCACGCACCCAAAAATTCGTTCATAAAATCAATGCAAATAAAGCGTAGGTGTTAAATTGATCATGCATTACTCAACAGTTTTTTCGGAATATCAAATGGATCTTAGTGATCAAAATATTTCATGAATACATTTTCACAATACACACAATAGTTACCTTTCAGAATGCATTCCAGATAAGGCATCTCTTGCGTGCTTTGGTAGGTGAGGTGAACATTCGTTTTCTTTGCTTCCTGAATTTCTTGAACAGCTTTCAGCTGGATTTCAGGGTTCAGAGCCAACTCATACAAGCAGAAGGAGAGAGTTGTTGAGCTCGTTTCAAAACCAGCAGAAAAAAATACAAACGCTTGCGCTGTTAAAGTTTTATGATTGACTTCTGCAAACATAATCGATAATAAAATGAAAAATTTAGGTAGAATATACGGCGGAAGCTTGTAATTAATGTGACGAATAGTTTAGTACAACGTTAAAGTGGAGGATGCTCCAAAAGCTTCAAAATTGGAAGTTTAATTTACCTGTGGAGGACGTTCAATCTACACACTCATGTGTAGGTAAAATTGCATACATTCTCATTTGAAGGCATTCCGAAATTGAGTTATCTTTCTTCTCTAAAATCAATGTTGCATAAAATTTCGCATCGTAACTGGTTACGCATTGTTGTTACTCAGTGTTACAGGAGGTACAAACTATTCAGCAAGGCGTCACGGAACGTCATTTTTTACTCTTCTTTATGAGGTTTGTAACAATTTTACATGCGAGAGTATCAGCAAAATTAGCAACTGAAGGTTTTCTCCCTTGCAATTACAGCAGTAATCTTTAAAAAAATTGTATTCCGTGACTAAAAAAACACACGCGACAATTTAGACGCCGTTTATTTTTGAGGAAAAATTTGGTCACTGAAAGGGGACATGGACTCCTTGGATTCAAGAACACGCCAGATAATATTTGTAGTGGCAAAAAAATCGCCTGACCCATCAATAACTTCATAAAAATGTGTAAAAATACAGATTTCAAGCTCAAACTGGAGCATTCATGTAAATACCATAATCAGCGAGTTTTCTCAAAACTGGTCAAACAGCGGTATCAGGCCAAAATGAATCAGTGAGTTTGAAAACAAGCCAACTCGGAAAAAAAATTGTTCAGTAAACACCTAAAACTACGCAGCGGGCGAAGAAGTTAGTTTAAGAAATTAACCTTGTTTGTGCCAAAGGACAAGTACTAAGTACTTAAGAGACTTTGTAAATCACCGCGTTGAAATCGATACACCATGTTTGATGACAGAGAATTAAGCGTTTAAAAATTTCCGAGTTGGTGTGTTTTCGTTCTCACCGACTTTCAGGTCCTGATTTTTCATAGACTGCCCTGAAAAATTTATATTTTTTGACCTGAATAACGCTTGAATATTTATATAACTTGTTGGTACAAGGTATGCTGAACCGAAAAAAAACCCCGCAAAATCGGATGGTCACCCGTTTTCCTTGAAATGGCCAAAAATTGGTATTTCCAATGAAATACTTCAATGTCTCCCTTTTCCCGTCGCTGTTTCGAGCACCTCCGATTGCAATTTCGAAATTTCCTTTTGCGTGAAGATGCTTCTATCCATAAGTGTTACTAAACCGTGAAAAAGTGAAAATCGAAAAAAAACCCGAGTTGGTGTGTTTTCGAACTCACCGATTCAAATGTGTGGTGCAAATCAGCGCAGATGAGTCTGTGTACTTACCAAACGTTTTATGACTAGTATTGAAGTCTTCTTCTTCTTTCAATTTAATTAGTAAATCCATAAAATCATTCCTCTGAATATTATGTTTCTTGCGCATCTCTATTGTGTCCCTCGTCAGGTCGAAAAAAAAGGAGTTAACCTCCTTCGGAAAACTCCGAAGCCCAAAGTAACTGTAAAGGTCCGGAAAGAACTGTCGGACGACTAGTGCGATTGCGTACTTCAAGGATGGAGAGAAGAGTTTCCTGCCCATTTTCCGAAAAGGCGCGTCGTCACTGGTGAAAGACTCGAACTCTAGACCGAAAGCTGCGGTACCGATAACATCCGTTGTGTATTTCGCAGTCAAGTCTCGAATTTCCATCTCGCCACTTTTAGTCTCTTCCAGGGATTCCTGAAAGTTTTTTGAAAAGTCTGCCGTGATAGCGAAGAGAGGCGTAAGTGCAAAATGTTCAAAATCGAGTTTTCTTCAAAATTCGTCTAAACTCTTTTAGATGAAATTACTAAGACAGCTAAAACAGCAAAATTCATCCTAATTTAATGAAAACGAGACGTATGAAAAAGCCGTAAGTGCACAAAAAATGACATAGTTTTTTTCAAGACAGCCGTAGGTGTATGAGAGCCAATGAAAACAGTGCTTTCAAGAGGAATGCCGCCCTCATCTGCCGATTTCTAACCTAAAAATGTGTTTAATGAGTGTCCAACACGCTACCACTCAGAAGCTTCTAGGCCCATTTTCTCAAAACTTCCTGTTTCCACTTACGGCTCTCTTCGCTATCACGGCAGAACTGCTGAATGCGTTTTGGGATGTGGCTCTTGCAATGAGCTTGTTGCAAACTTACAGACCTCGGTATTCGATCCCGATTTGTGCATGGGAAGTTTGAATTTAAATAGAGGCGGACCCTCAACAGTCCGTAAGCAATATTTGCAACTTTGAGGGGCTTCTTGAGCTCGACATTTATTCCCAAGGAAAACCGAGAGCACCATCGTATTTTTTTTTTACAAAATTTTACTTCATAAAAAGTACTTAAATCGTAAATCCCTGAGTCATGCAAGAGCTTAATTCAGAATCAGTTTACAGGCATCATTTGTTGTGTAGACGATACAGGAACATTAAGTGGAATTTTACCAAATAGAGGAGAAAATTTCCAGCCGCAATTTAATTTTGTTTGTGATCATTTAAATGCACAGAGACTATGGAAAAAACTCCACCCTGGAGGGGGCTGCTTGCTCTCCAGAGAGGGATTTTTTCACAGCCTCTTTGCATCCAAAATATGAAAAAATAGAAAAAAATAATAGCTGGCAATTTATTATTATATTTTACCTATAATGTCTGCACTATGGAAATAATTTCTGTGAGCTTCACGCGGAGTACCCGCCAGGGTTGGATTTCTCCACAGCCTCTCAACACCCAAAACATGGCGAAAAACAATAAAATTATAACTGGCAATGTATTCCTATTTTCTACACATAATATCTAAACCAAGGAAAACGTTTCTGTGAACTTCACGCGGAGACAAAATATTTTTTAATCGTTCAATAATATTGGTTGAGTTCTCTCCACCAAATTGTATCTAAATGCTGGATAAAATTTTACAGTTCTCAATGCTTACCGAAACGTGTCTATTTAGAGCTTCTCCGCATTTGACGACTAAGTCGGTCATTAAACGGAGTTTTCCGGTGCTGAAAACCGGAGATAACTTCTGCCGAAGGTAGCGCCACCGGTCACCGGTTAAAGTGACCAAGTTAGCTGTGATTGGCTCTCTGCGTTCGTCAAATTTATGTCCTCGATCGACAAATTTTTGAAATTGTTTCACCAGAATATCCTCGATCACCTCTGGGCTTCTTACAAGCAGGGCCGGTTTCCTTATCGTCCAAATTCCTACGAAGGGCTCGTTGGGGTAGTTCCTATAACATGATTCAAATCATCAGGCGCGTATTATTTGGATATTTTCTGAAGGGATGGAGAAAACCAAACTTTACACTAGAAATCCTCTACCACAAATTAGGTTCTTCAGCGAGGATTCTGAAGAGTTTGTCTTTTTATGTAAAATGGTGCGTAACTGTGAACTTTATCTTTCTTTTGACTCAAAGTAACTCACAGATGAATAGATCCAAACAACAATACTTAAACCTAGTTTTAAACCGTAGTTGGCAAATATACCTATATTATATTATACCTACGGTGAAATTACAGAATGACATATCGTCACCTTCCGGCTAAAAAGTCGCAAGCACTATGCAACAATTCAAAATTTCCGCCGTCATTTTATTTTTTTACGGAGAAATTTTTCAACGTTTCAGAGCAGATGTCGATTTCATTTGTCAGAAAACCTCCCCCACCGCACATAAGCACACACAAAAGAGAACAATGAATAATACTCACTTGTATATGTTTTGAAATACTTGTCCGGAAGTCATCTGGAAGGTGATTAGTGGTTTTATGCTGCCAAAAAATGGGAGAGGTTTGGGATGAACCACGCCATGACGTCTCCAGTAGTCGAAAGTTGAGGTCACATAAGCGTAAATTGCTAAGCATATTCCCATGCACAGCAAAATGAAGTCAAACATTTCTCGATCTGTCAACATATCATGTAACATAAACTCACCTGCAGAATCGTTGCAATTTTACTTTCAAATGGAGTTCGAGTATCTCTGGCAGCTTCCAGTGCTCTAGGATGCAGTTTCGCTTGATGTCGATCGGAGGATTTTGATTCAACTTTAATTCCGTTCAATTAATCTAAGTAGCACCGCCAATAGAATGAAACGTTAAACGAAATGTTGAATATGAAGTTGCATTCAAGTTTTTGTTCAATTTTAAATCAAATGGTTACTTTTACGAGTCTTACACTCCAACTTTTCTCTCGACAAAAGCGAACAGTGATGGAATGAAAAATTGAGTTGTCAAAATTGAACCGAAAAAAACATAACAGTTGTCCGCATCAAAATACTTCGACAGATATTTTGGCATGACAAAAGTGTTAATGTACTAAATTGAGGAGGGAGCACCTTGATATAACGCTGAAAGTGTGGTTTAAATGATCATCATGGGCTATAACATCTTGACAAGTTTCACCTTACATAATTTTTTGTCGCCTTCTCCTGAAAACCTTGAGAGTAGCTTTATCTGGCCAAAAATTATCTTTTTTCCGCTATCTGAAGACATTAACACTTGCTAATTTCATTATTCGATACTGAGAAGTCGGTCAACATTTTTGATGAGAGGGTACACTGCGCTTACTTGGATCCTTCAAATTCTCTTTTCAAAAGTTGATAACATACTTGATGTTGATGAGTTAATAACATACTTAACTACTCTTGATGAAACCACCATGCTTTGGCATTTCACTTCACCTTAGAATACTTATCGTGCAGTTTTACTTTCACCTTATCCTCCAAGAACACTTCGTCTTGTGGATAGATTTGAATATTTGCATTCAAAAAGAAAAAAAAATTGAAAATAAAGTTATATATATATATATAAATAGGCAATGATGAGAAAGTTAATAGGAAGCAGAAAAGTCTCCACTATCCTCAGATAATTGCAGGCTCGCGTTGTGTACTGGTTGAATATTGTGTCTACCGCACCTGACACAGAGAAATTACAACGATTAAAGTGCGCAAGTTGATTTGCGCGCAATGTGTGAAGTATTCTAACAGTCTTGTAGGCGTTAATATACGTTTCAAGCCAACTGGAGGACTGCACTGCGTTTGGCGCAATGCGAGAAGTATTCATCCAGTCTTGTAGGCGCTAATATGCTTTTCAGGTCGATCGCAATTTGTTCGGCGCGATTATTCGGAGTTGCGTTAAAGTTATCGCGGCATCGAATACTGCTCTGAGAAAAAACTATGGCTTATAAACCTATTAGAGGTAAATATGGAACACCACTAATAGTAGTACCTCTACATATAATAATAGCACATATACCTTAGTTATGGTCTCTGTACCTTAATTAGGTACAGAGACCTTAGTATGGTTCACAGACCGAGAATCATTAGTTTATTTACGACTATTATAGGTGTTCCATATTTACCACTAATAGGTTTATAAACCATAGCTTTTTCTCAGTGTGGGGCTTATACGGCCCATGTTGCGTTTCGACGCTGTGTGAGCATTCCAACGTTGCCTCGTTTCTCCCGATAAAATAATAGAAAAATAAAAATAAAATAAAAAATAAAAATGTATGAAGATATTCCCGATAAAATATTCTCCCTGGGAAATGTTAGGAAAGTTCTCTATGTTTACTTCTTTAGATTGAATGGACCATTAAACAGGGTATACAAAGTTAGGCACTCTGATACATGATTCTTCGCCGGAATTGCACATAAATTACGATTCGTGAAATGAAAATGGCTGTAACAACTGAAAGTTTAATGTTAGTCTTCTAAAAAGATTAGCCGAAAGGATCGTCCACGGCACCCGGACCGTACGCAATCGTGACCGGTCACGAGTATAGCGCGATGGAAGATAATTAAAGAGAGAGACGAGCATTTACTTTATTGAAAGTTTGAAGAATTCATCCGCGGCACTCGGACCGCAGGCAATCGTGTCCGGACCAAGATCCATCCATATAGGTCAGTCATTGCGCAGATTTCCCCGCTCGGGGTAAGCCCCTTTCCATTGGCTCGTGACGTCAGCATTACTGCCGCGAAAACCAGAAAAGTCGGAAACAATGCTTTTCTTATGGGAGAGAGCAAATGTTTCTTAATGAATCATTTAAATTTCTTACTTTTAAATCCTTTGAAACTTTCTGTGTGTCGAAAAGAATGTTTAGACATTAGCATTCAGGGTTTCGATTTTGCCGAATTTGTGTTCTTTCATTTTTACAGTTTACTCTGCATCAGCCATTTTTACGCGCGAATCTATACCACTAGATGGCTTGTTACATCGCTGACTTCAAAAATCATTTAAAAATATAAAAACGCAAATTCAGCTGAATTGAAACCCTTGACGCTAATTTCTAAACGTTCCTTTCGACACTCAGAAAGCTTCAAAGAATTTAAAAGTAAGGAATTTAAATGATTCATTAAGAAAAATTTGTTCTCTCCCATAAGAAAAGCATTGTTTCCGACATTTCTGGTTTTCGCGGCAGTAATGCTGACGTCATGCGCAGAAGATTCTCATTTGGGTTTCGGGAATGACTGACCTATATGGATGGATCTTGGTCCGGACACGAGTAACGCGAATGAAATTTTAGACCGAAAAAGGACTGTTTATTGGCAGAAGGCCGGAATATGGCATGATTAATTATTAGTGAAAATGATAGAGTATAGAAAGTGATATTTAGAATAAATACTCGCTTGATTGAATGATAAGATATAACTGTTTAAGAAGGAAAGTTTCAACGCATGAAAGAACATAAGCGGGGCGTACGCTTATACCGAAAGACGCTACTATAGAGTGGTAAATGAGACATGATTTGGATACGGCACACGGGCCAACCGGTCAAACTGGATTTGAGAAGGAATTGCGCGGACGCGTAGTTTAAGTTGAGAAAGGTTGTGACGGAAGGCGCCAGTGGGTATTATAATTGAGGATTTATTGAGAAAAGTAATCAAAAATGACTTTTACATATTGAAACAGACAAAATAATAAAGAAAAGAATTTAAATATCTAAAGGAAAGCCGGAGGGGCGAATAAAGAGCCCGCAGCGCGATCGGGCGGGCCGAGGGCGGAACTAGGCGCGCGGCGCGACATGAGATGCGGGCGGCTTGCCTAGCTGACGGAATGAAGGCTAAATATTGGTGACGCTTAGCGGCGCCAACAACAACTCATATAGCTTAAATATTAACGTTTTTATTGTACATTAGTCACGAAAAATTTGAATTTTTCGGTCACAAGAAAAACAATACCCCACGCGAGTCAAATTGTGCACTACAACGGCTTTAGCAAACTAAACAATCGAGCATTGTTTCTTTCCCACTCTGTGTTGTTCAAAGTATGCACAGCTTGCTGTAGCTGAGCCAAAGCGTCAAGATTGAGGTTGCCACACTTTAATATAGCTGAGACTGTCATAGTGACCTTTAGCGTGCACTTATTTACCCTAGTAAATAATTAATGTTCCATGAGCAGAAAGTTTGAATTTATCAATAATAAACGTTGTTACCACGGCTAGGACTTCGTTGTCTATTGGTGTTTTCCTTTCAATACACGCGTTCCACTCACAAGTGTAACTGCTGCTTTAGACCTACCATCCACGGTGTACACAATATACGACCATACTGTACACCGCGAGCCTGCCTGCAATCCTAGCATCGAGGGATTGTGGAAATGTTCCTGGTAATTTTTTGCCTGCTTTTCTTTAGGATGGAAAGAGGTATAATCTTTTCATTTAAAGAAAAAATGAAGATTCGATATCTGAGTATGGTCCTGAGTTAAAGCAGGAAAGTTTTTTGCAATTTTGCAACAATGGACCATCAGACAAGGTACGAATTTAAGCACTCTGATACATGTTTCTTAACTAGAACTTCACGTAGAACACGATTAGCGCAACGAATATTACTGAAACTAACTCCTAACGAAGATTTCAACGTTTTTATTTCACATTGGTTACGAGGAATTTGAACTGCCCGCTCACAGGAAACTCAAAGCTCTACGTGAGTCAAATCGCGATCTATAACGGTTTCAGCAAGCTTCTCAGTCGAGCAATACTCATTTCCCACCATGTGTTTTTCAAACTATAAGTAATTGGCTATAGCTGAGCCAAAGCGTCAAGATGAGGTTGCCAGATTTTCTTATCTCAGAGACGTTCATGATAACGTTTCAAAATGCTGAAATTCATACCTTGTCTAGTGGTCCATTCGATATCTGAGTAACGGAAGTTTGTTCACCTTGCAGGTGTCAATCTAACCAACGGGATGATAGCTGCCAACTCGTTTGTTTTTTCTTGTTGTGGGATTTGAGACCATTCCGTTGACACTGACTTATTGTCTACTCGCAAAACTCTTAATCCTGGTTTACTTGATAACGTGAGGGTTGATATGGAGAATATTGAACGAGCGTATGGTGCATTTGTTTATGATGCGATAAAAAATTTGAACTACACTTACATGGTACTATCAGGTATGTTCGACATTTTACGAATTCACTGTACGTGCGAAGGGTAGTTTTTTAACGAGCTTCGCTGATCTGCACCAACTAAAGTCGCCCCATATTGCAGCTCGAGTGAAATATCAAAGATTTTTCTCATAGATTCTGCGAGACACGCATTTTCTCTGAGTTAGAAAATGCTTATTTGCTGTTGATCGTCACCATAAAAATTTGTAGTAGAAACCAATAGCTCATAAGATGTTATACAAAAAGAATTGAAAACCTCAAATCTCTTGTTGTTTCCTTATCCAAATTTGGGGGAAAAATTGAACACGCGTAGAAATGTCATACAGATATCTACCTCACAACGCAAATAGTATTCCCATTTTCATTCTAAGAGTTGAAATCGAGTTTGACAGGGGGTTAACTTAGGGCAAAGCTTAAATAAACTTAATTAGGCTAGATTTAGGAGTCTGACAGGTGCAGGCTAAATTTTAACTTTTAGAATTTGCGAGGGCGTGAAAATTGCGATGTGAGGAAGATATCTGTAGGGCATTATTGTGGCGGTTATTTTTTCCCAAAAAGTAGGAAAAGAATCAACAACATATTGTGAGGTCTTTCATTTTTGTGGCAAGACATCTTATGAGCGACTGCCGCATGCCCACACAAATGTGTGACGAAGATCAACAGCAAAAAATCGTCATCCGACTTTGAAAAATTCTGTCGTGTGGTAGCAAATTATGTGGCAACTAATATCGAGCATTTCTCTCAAGCTGTAGTGCGGGGTTAGTTCTTTGTAGCTTGAATCAGTGCATTTACAATTAGCCCTTTTTTAATGTTATCAGTATGTGAATGCTAAAAAAAGGCAACACTCTCTCGAGTAAATTGGAAATCTACAAACATCGTCGGCAACACATGCCCTGTCATATTCACAAAAATGAGAGTAAGAAAATGACATATATTAACACACACTCAGACACAAAAACTAAAGAAAAAAAGGAGAAAATTACAGTTGGAAAACGAATAAAAAAATTTAGTGAGGGATCTTCCAAGGAATTGTAAGTTTATTTAAAATAACTGTCCTTCCATCTCTGTTAAAATGTGTCTCGCAAAAATTCAATCACCACAAGTCGATTTTTAGTCCTACGACTGGCAGTTTAAATTTTGCTTAGAGTATGAAAGTTTTAAGAACTTTCTAATATGAAACTTATTTTCCTGGAAATTACAAGCACGTCATTTAAGTATGCTTCTGCACGAACAAACCCTCTACTGCTTACTTCCAATCGTGTATTACTAATTTTATTATATGTGTCTAGTATGTATGTGCGCAACTTTATTTTGGACAACTGTGTACCTACCTCTTTCCGATTACCTTTTAAGATGCAATGATTGAAAGTGGTGTCCACTTTCTTCCAAATTATTGCCGAAACAAATATGACCTGTATGAGAATTGACCAAAAAGTTATTTTTTATATTTCTCACTTGGTGGTTTCTTAAACGTTCGTTATGATCTTAAAACTTTAGAATATGAATGATGGAATTTGTTGCCTCTCAAGAAACTATTTTTCCTCACGTTTAGAACTCATGACACGTTGTTTCACTGCCTTTTTATTCTACCTATAATTGCAAAAGGTTTAGTCCTCCGCTAAATAATCTCATTACTTGCTCAACTCACTGTAAGATTTTTTGAGAAACAAAATCATCGAGGACTAAATAGTGAGGCAAAAATCTCCACGTGAAAAGATCTAGTTGTGTCTGAATGTACCTCAATGAGCAATAAAACCGGCAAACTGTTACGCATTATAACAGAGCACGGAAATTTCGGAAAATGCATCTACACCTTAAAAGTTTCTCATTTAAATGCGGATGCATTTCCTCGTCTGATCGCAAATTCAATTAATTGGACGTACTCGTATTTCTGCTAAAAGGAATGACAGCATAAATTACCAGATCTCTGTTTTTATTTTCTAACTGAGTTTCTGTATGGTGATCTAAAATTAAATGAATTATGAAATGAAAGATAGGTATTAGACAAATATACTTCCACGTACCACTTACGAAGTTTTGCGATGAATTTGTGCGTAGTGATCTTTAAAAGTGCGAAGAAATAAAATATCAAGCACTACAGCACTTGATACACTTATTGCACTGCGCATGGAACTAACTACAGTCTTGGCAAAGTGGCAATTGAATTATCGTTCAATGCACCGTTGGATATATGTAGTATCGGTGCAAAATCTGAGATAATTTCTAAAGCTCTCTTTGAATGGCTTAGTTGGGAGTGGTTGTAACCGCAAAACTCTTTGCTCGAAGTGCAAGGTATTAAAGTGCCCTTTCATTGTGTTAGTTTTCATCGATGCATGGAAAAGAGTATGAGAACAAACTCACAGCAGTGAGCACCTGCGATACCAGATGATAAGTTTTGAGAACGTCTCTGTTTTCGCAATTTTATTTTTCACATTAATTTAATTCGCATAATTCTTTTGGATAAGGCATCGAAAGACATCAGTACATTTTTTAGAAGAAATCTTAGTCCGAAATTCCTCCTAAAATAGTTTAAAAGTAATACCTGACAAATTTCCAAGATTTCCGGAACTACATGGCTTTACTGGAAAATACTGCTGTGGCTCTAGGAATGGTTGCCAAGTGTACATGGTACATGTAGAAATGGAGAGTGCGGATCCGGAAGTGGTAAAAAATCAAAATCTACGGTCCTTCAAAGTGACACTGGAAAAAAAACACACTGGATCTAGAGTCTAGACTCTTGAAAACATTGACAAGAAAAAACACTCTTGATTCAATCAGATTCAAGCTTAAATCAAAAGGAAATCCGCTCAAATTAAGAGGCTTGGTTCTTGATTTAAGCTTAAATCTGATTGAATCAAGAGTATTTTTTCTTGTTGATGTTTTTAAGAGTCTGGACTCTAGATCCAATGTGTTTTTTTTTTCCAGTGGAGCATTCCTTGCGAATTTGATATAATTCATTTTTCGCCCCAAGCCCTCCCCCAAAATTTTGCCATACCCCAAAATCGCTTGACGTGCATAAGGAGACCATAGCTATGGTCCTCTATGCAAATGTTGAATGAAATTGAATAAACACACTGGAAAAAAAACACATTGGATCTAGAGTGCAGACTCTTAAAAACATCGACAAGAAAAAATACTCTTGATTCAATCGGATTTAAGCTTAAAGCAAAAGGAAATCAGCTAAAATTAAGAGGCTTGGTTCTTGATTTAAGCTTAAATCTGATAGAATCAAGAGTATTTTTTCTTGTCGATGTTTTAAAGAGTCTGGACTCTAGATCCAATATATTTTTTTTCCATTGTAGATTGAATAATAATAGAGTTTTCTCAAAATTTATAATTTAAATTTCGGTGAGCTAGTTGTTTCATCTCAACGATGCTCGTCTTCTCCAGGGAAATAAAGTACGCGCCTACATAGTAAATAACTGAGCGATTTTTTAATACGAACGTAGAGGATAACTTTCCTGCCTGTTTTTTTTCTGCATTCAATGTTCAAAAATCTTCCCCTTGTTAATAGCAGCCGAAACTGCTTCAAAGAAAGATTGAACTGGGTCTCATATAATTCCGACGATGTGACAAATGAGTTAAAATAAGAATGCTCTCAGATAACGCGAGTTTTAATAGCAAAGATGAATGTTGAAAGAATAAGAAAAATACCTGTGTCAACTAGTGACACTGTAAGTTAAGATTTTTTGAAGTTTTGATGCGATATTTATTTATCATGACAACTAGACACTTAACCTCATTGCCCCATTTTAACAGTTCGCAAGCATCCTCTGAAAAGTCTAATACTGGTTCAATTGCATGACCAAGCACTTCTAATTAGCGGAAAAGATAGTTTTTATTTTATCGATACACATCAAATAGCAAATCAATGCTTCTTTATCACTACAATTAAAAATTGCACTTCATGAGGATATTTCATTCGAGTTTAAATTTCTTCTCTATACTCACCGACAAGTTGTCGTATCAAGAATAAGGTGATGTATTTGAGTAAATTGATTAATTTTGTAAATCAAAAAACGACAAAAAATAAGTAGAGAAAGAAAGAAATAAACGATCAGATATACACGAGTATTTGAAATCTGAAAGAGCAGTGTGCAAATTAGAAGTTCAGTCAATGAAGTTCATGAAGCGAGACTTTTTTTGACTTTCGTGTTATTACTTTCGACCTCCTAATCGGGCATCCAATGCGTGTTTTTGGAAATTTCAGTCCCAGGAAGCGTTCAATGGTTCTTGAAAACGTTCACACCTACAACATTTAAAGGTAAGATTTTTGTTTGGAGATATTTGCATGGCGCTAATTTAATTATTTCCTAATAGAAAATAAAATATAGATGAAAACCAACCTAATTGCTTTTGTTTTGATAGATTTATAGGCGTATTCTGGGATGGCTCCGCTGGTACTTATCAAGCAAAACCTCTTAAATCTGAGTTGAATTTGTAAAATTACGTCAATATTCCTTGTGTAGTTTGATTTGATTAGCGATAACAGAATAAATGTAATGATCATTGATGTCAATTAGTGCTAAAATATTTCCCGATACAGCAAAAAACCTATGCTCAATAATCGATTCTTGTCGCAGCACCTGGCCCCTCCCAGAATCGACAACTCTCCTATGGATTTAAATGGAGAAAATACAATATTTCCAAATTGCTGGATCCGCCAATGTTTTGATGGCTCACCAACAATAAAACCATTATCTTCAGCTGACAGTCAGCAGCGGTTATTTCGGCCGTGCTACTGAAATGAATACTGACCTTAAGAAATCAATGCCAACGCGTTTTTTTTTTCTTGGTTTCATTGTTTGATCTTTGTTTTCAATTTCACGTTAACTCATATGACGCAAAATGCTTCCATGATTTTAGATTGAAAAATGGGAAAAAATTGGAAATTCGTGATTCGTCTCCACCTCCTCCTCCAGAGCAGTATGTTTTTAACAACGGACGCTTTCAAAATTTTAGTTTTTTATCCTACTCCATCCCTGAGTCATCAGCGCCCAATAATGGCCCTGACTGAGCGGTTAGTACAAAAAGGGCATGAGCTCTTTGTGGTCAGCCCAAATGCTGTACCGGTGAGTAACATTCATAGCGATTCGTTTGAATTTTTGAAGACTTTGTCATAACGAGGTTGCTGCAAAATATTGTTGAAGATATGAATATTCCGCAAGTAAAATGCTCTAGAATTACGATGAGTGCAGTGGCGAAGTATAAAAACTCTTCTACAAAATGTTTGTCGGGAATTTTAGGTATTCGGACATACTTCTACCAAACGGAACCAGAGACAGGTGGAAAAGTAGGGGAGTGCTCGTTAGTTCTCGGGCCATTAGAATGAATGAGAATTATATAGCGCCAATGACGTCATCGGCAATGAAGCCGCCGTACAGTGGATCGAGTCAATCAGAGATCGGACATGAATTTTTTTTACTATTACTGCAAATTTTGATGTTTATTTGGTCGGATTTTAAATTTCAAAGGGTGCTCTAAGCAGAAAATTGCACAAGGAAACCAATGGGACCACTTCTGGAACTTCAACGCGTTGTATAAACGGAGCTATTGGCGTTTAATGTTTCCGAATTTTGTCCGACCTCTCCTATTGACTCGAGATACTGTCACCGCGGTCGACCGTGGTCTTCTTTAACTCATGAGCCCTGTCTATAACGCTCTTTTTCCATGCCCATGGCTCATGACTAAGTACCGCATTCAGTTGGCACATAGTTCCGTCTGACAGGATGTAAAATCCCACTTTTACATTTCGCCAAGGAATTTCCCACAGTAACATTGTTTCTTACGCAGCTTTCTAGAGCACACCTCCATATTCCCCACCCGTTTCTAGTTTCGTTTGGCAGAAATGCGTCCATTTCTAATTTAAAAGTATAGCCAAGAAGCGAAAAACCATACCCATAGTTTCAGTAATTTTCTCAGGATGATTCAATTTCGTTTGAAGTTGTGTCTGAAGGAAGTTTAAGGAGCAAACCTTAAGCCTTCCCCATCAAATCAGATACAGGATAATTTTAAAAAAATTTCAAGGAAAAATTGATCTTTGCCAATTATACAGTTGATATATTCCCATCAACTAGGTTCAAAAATACCGGAGAAAAAATATATGATTTAGAAAAAGTACCTATGCATTGAATTTACCATAAACTTTGGCACAACCATGATATTGGTATATTGATATTTTTATGCTATTTGCAATGGCAAATCGTTTGAATTCTTCATTAGAATCGATGTACATGGTAATTTAGACGAGTTCCACGAAACGTTGGTTAAAATTGTTACTTTTCTAATTCATTGTTGAAGGCCTCCTTAAACCGTCTTTAGTCACAATAGTACAGATAAATGGACAATCTTAAGGAAAAAAGTGGTCCAAGCTTTGACTCGGGCGGGACAAGGCCTTCAATTTCAATTGGGCCGCACGCCAACCACCGATAAGTCGCAGCCGTATAGACACAGCTAGGCAATTTTTCATACATACGAGTAATACGCACACGGCATATTGAGAGTGTTCAATTACATAGCTGCCTGCCTACTTGAGTTGATACGGCCACAACTTAATGGAAGTTGGGTTGGTAACCCACTTGATCGCTGTAATCACCTCATTTCAATATTTTCGATTCTCGTACTCAGTTATGATAAAAAACATTTTTGTCATTTGTTCTATCATATCTGAAATTTCCATGCGGTTGTTTGAGGCCAAAAAATTGGTCAATGTCTCCAATGTTGGTTGAAATATCCGAAAATATATAATGTTATTTACTTCAATTGCTGAACGCTTGATTTGATCCGATTGATAAGACGTGAAAACGTACACATTTTTATACGATTTGCAGAGACTGGAACACCACGGCAACTATACTTACGTGGACATTTCATTTTCTTACAAATATTTTTCGGACAAAAAGGAGGACGAAACTGTGGTGCTTCAACAGGAAATATCTAAGTGGGCCTATGTTCAAACGCATGAAAAAGTCGCGAATATGCATAGAGCTCAATTACTCAGCGATAATTTTCTGCAATTTCAGCGGTGAGTAAATTGATAGTACTTAAACGGTTTCATTTCCACAATGAATTTGTCAAAATGTTAAACTTTCCGGTTTTAATTACCATATGATGCATTCTCAGAGATTAAAGAAAAAATCCTTTCCTTAAAACTGATACGTACATGTTTTTATTTGACGCTACAAAAGCTTTGCTTAAAGGCAAGAAATATTCTTGAATCAACAACATATAGGTGAATGTCAAATTCAGCTTACGAAATATACTTTCAGCTCTCATTTAATGTGTTACAAATATAAGTCCCATTATTCAAAACATCCGTCGATTACGCGTTTGAAAATTAGGGGTTCAGAAGCGAAAGTATAGATTCAAGGAATAGTTTACGATCAGAGTAGAAGTTAATTTTACTGTCGCCTTTATCAAAATATAGGTTTTATTCATTTTATATTATTGGTAAAGCAGCATGATATGTTATTGTCTGCATGCGTGCAAGGTAACATACATTTTGGAGAACAGAGTAAAAATTTCAAGGCTACAAATTTTTGGAAAAACGTGCAATTTTACTCAAAACAGTAATTAATACTGTCTATCACAGAGTAATGTGGACTTAGTGTTGTATCCATGTAAGACGGCAATTTTTTCGCACTTACTGCTCAATAAAGACACTGCGTAACGTCCAAAACTGCATACTATCGCTTCTCTGACGTAATGCCTGTGTCACACTATCAAAGCTAGTCATCAAAATATCAAGGTCAGGTGTTGTGATTGGCTTATTCGACGACTTGGACCAATCACAGCACTTGACCTTGACATTTTGATGGAGTCTTTTGATGTTTTTCTTTGGTAAGGCAGAGGAGATCCTTTCTTTTTATTTCAGGCGAGTAATTTCGGAGAAAATCAAATTCGATGTCGTTATCGCGGAATCGTATTCTATACCCTATACTTGTGCGATAACACGGATGCTTAGTAATGGCACACCACTCATTTCAATGACGACATTCTCAGCTGACTTCGGGGTGCAAAGAAGAATAAGTAATATCCCACATTTCTCTTTTATTCCGACGCTTATGAGCGACTACACAGACAGGATGAGCTTGTGGCAAAAAATCGAAAATTGGCTGTCCTATAAATATCTTTCATGGCGCATGGAGGGTCAGATGATGAAAGCAGCCAGGCGGTTTATCAGGGACGCATACGGGAACGAAAGTGAAAGATTGGTTGATGGATGCTGGGAGAGCGTCAGCCTTTCACTTGTGACCTCTAACTCACTCTATTATTATCCTAGACTCTTGGGCCCGAATATCATCGAGACAGGGCCTTTGCATTTGAAGACGCCTGCAAAACTACCAAAGGTAATACTGCCTTGCTAAGGAAAAACGCCGTATGAGCATTCGAGAGTTGTCAAATATCCTAGAATTAATCATATATTTTTGAGGATTGTTATAAATATTTTTCCTTGATATTTGCAGGTATTTTAGATCAAATTGCGAACTATGTCGTCTGAAAAATTTGAAAAAAACGTTAAAAAAATGTCCCATACGGCGTTTTTTCTTAGCAACAGAATAATATTTTGATGACGTTGGAAATCGGAAGAAACAAGGTTTCAACTGTGCATCACCGGAGAAAGGCCAAATACAAGTGAAACTGTGAGCACGAAAACACGCCAACTTGGGAAGAGAAAAATGTTCAAGAGCTACATAAAACTGCTTAGCAGGCGAATGAACTAGTTCAGGAATGAGATTTTTTTAAATTTTTGGTGAACAATTTCAAATACATGTGAAACTCTGAGCACAAAAACATGCCAACTCGAGAAAAGAAAAATGTTTAAGGGATACAAAAAACTGTGCAACAGGCGAATAAATTTGTTTAATGTAAGAATAAGATTTTTGGTGGTAAAGGACAAGTATTCGGCGATATTGTGAAGGACCAAGTTGTAATATGCCGGTATTACACGCTGAATGTGAGAGCTGAATATGGCGTGAGTGTGGAAGTCATCGGCCCGATGCCTTCAGCAACAAGGCTCATGACCCAAGTGCGTTACGTAATACTTAAATGGCCCTAAGTAGTGCAGAAGTGCTGAAATAGTGGTAGAATATGCTCTTTTTCATTTTCCCCAGAATTTGCAAGAGTGGTTGAATGGTGCAAAGAAAGGAGTAATCTACTTCAGTCTCGGAAGTAATATGAAAGCAAAGTCACTTCCCGTTCAAGTTCGTGCAAATTTCTTGAGAATGTTCGATGAATTGCCAGCTGGATATAGAGTCCTATGGAAATCGGAGGATATTGACGAAGCCGTAAGGAAACCACACAACATATTAATGCAAGATTGGGTGCCACAAGACAGCGTACTAGGTATGTGTTACCAAAAATCTTCACTAAAACAACATAAAATAAAATCGGGAAGATAGACATTTCTTACCTCCCGATTTATTTTATTCGGTCATTTCCTCCAACGGCGATCGTTTTTTCGGTTTCAGGACATTTTGTCCACGATTTTTTGTTCAGGAGTTTACGCCCACACGTAAAATAAGCAACAGTGACTTGGTCCAAGCGTTATATTTTAGTCGGTATGTAAAATTATATTGACAATATGGAAATGAGAAATTGAGAGAGAAGGAGGTGTTGTTATGGTTGCTCATTTTCTAAATGAAATGTACCTACTTTCTCCTTTTGAATCATCTTTTTAAATTATCATTGGTGAATATTTGGTTTTATTTCTACCCTTAAAATATTCGATGTACAACATACCTTATATCTGTATACATACTTTTTTTTATTTTTTTAATTTTTTCTTTACGAAATCATTACTTCATTTTGAAAACATTTATATTTTTAAAACGTGACAAATATTTGTAAAACCTTTTCCAAGCGACATTAATCTCAATGAGCCGTAGTTGTGCCAACAGAAACTGCAAGAATGAATAAAAGAGGAAAAAAAACCAAGAAGCACGCAATTTTTAGTTTTAACCCATTTGTACACTGATCTTTTAGAGTCAAATACGTCAAATTTTGAGCGTTTGTTTGCGCTTACACCTCGCTGCAGCACAATACAATCAAAAAATGTAAAAGAAAAAATTAAAGTGCTTCGGAAATCATTAAATTCGACACGGAACCACCAATATTTAAAAAACACACATTATATTATTATTCTCCTTTGATAAATTGATACTTATTTTTTCCCCATCAATTTAAATGAGAATAATCAAAGCAGAGTATGCAAACATTTCAAAATCATGGATCAAAAAACGCTGACTATGCTAGTATAAATATTAAAGCCAAACAGAGCGGAGCGGCGTGCTGCCAGCGCGAGAGGCTCACTGGCGCCTACAAACCTAAGTGGATACTTCACGCATTGCACCATGCTTGAAGTATCCACTTAGGTTTGTAGGCGCCAATGCGCGTTTCGAGCTGGCCGCCCGCCCGCCGTGCGGCGGCGCCTGAAGCAACTATTTCACAGCAGAGGTGTTGCACAGTATTATACGAAATTGAACGTATCAGAATGACAGGCATCCTTTAAATGCACAGATCTTTATTCGCAAAATAATCCAAGATACTTATCGTACACAGGAAAAATCTAAGAGCCTTTAGCTGAGGCAAATATAGAGGTTCATCCGGTTCAGGTATAACAAGGTGAGAATTTCTTGAATTATTATTAAGTTCTGTTACACCAAAGAGGTGTAGAGAGTTTTAGTGAATTTTGTCTCATTGAATTGACGCTCCCCCATTTTTACCAAAACTCTTAACTATATATTATTCTCCGTTGGACCAAACAGACAAAACAAAAAAAAACAAGCAAACCCTCATTCTTCCAAGACATTATACATTTTCATCCAAAAACGTCGTGAGCAATGTCGTTTGTATTTCCATGTGGGTCAATTAACTTTGGGTCGCAACTGGCACGTGGACCAAAACTCTTGTTGCCGAAAATACGCGTGTACGTAAATTACTGGAAAAAACAGGTGCGCGGACAAAAAATCGTTGACGAAATGTCCTAAAACCGAAATGCTACTACTTATTCTACTCGTTTTTTCCATTAGGTGAAAATTTGCCGTTTCCCTCACGAAAGCGCGTATCCACATTCGAGTGTTGCCACATTTCCACTCAAAAATCGCACTTACACCCGGAGAATCTTAGGCACACGGAAAAATGGATTGCTGAAGCTTGTAACGAGGTTCGAAGTCTCATCCTCTCGTGAACTAAAACTCAATGTCCAGGACAAAGATTAAAGATTTTTAGGTTTAAAATATTCTTTATCGACTTTGAGCTTTGACTGTAGAACATCTTATGGGTACATTAATTCAACACGACTCTTTAATTATGTTCATCCCATAATGCGCCTGAAAGCGCTAGTGTTGGACTCAGCCAAAATAACATATGGACGTATTTCTGTTAAATTGAACAAGTGCCTAAGGTAGAGGGGGGCTTGGATTGGCAACGGAACTCGGCGTCGGGTTCATTCGTTCCTATACCCGCAATGCTTTTCCATGGCGCATAGTTCTGTTTGACAGAACTCGCCATCCGGGATTCTAAATTCCTCAAAAGGAACTCAAATTGGCGCTTAGTTCCGTTTGACAGAAATAAGTCCGTATAAGAAAGCCTGTACTATATAATAAGAATTATTTAGAGCATAGAATACAGCAAAATTCTGTTTTCACAATTACAGCGCATCCAAATGTGAAGCTCTTCATTACGCAAGGAGGCCTTCAAAGCTTTCAAGAAGCAGTTCATTTCGCAGTTCCAATGGTTGGAATCCCGCTGTTCGTAGATCAGGGCTGTCAAGTCTCCAAGATTGTGGATGCCAAGATTGGAGTCCGCTTATCGCCGAGGGATCTGCATTCATTCGAAAAAATTAAAACAGCAGTTGAAAGTGTACTCTATGATGAAAGGTGAGCGGAAAATCAGACCCACAAGTATACTTTTCGTATACTGTCTGTTTGTATCATGAATTGGATGCAATTGAAATGTCTTAAATAGATTAATACACACGGAGAAAAAAACTTCGTGCGTGGGACCCAAAGTTTAGGTCATAAGGATCTCTGAATTTTTCGGATTGAGCATCCGAACGCTTAAGGTCCAGCTGTTGAGGTTTGGATCACACATCTGAAACTTCAGTTTTCACTTTCGGTTCTAAACATCATCTGATCTTTGATCACGATTGCATAATATTTGTGACCAATGGTTTCCTGGCTCTGTTTCAGTTATCGGAGGAACATCCGTAAGCTTTCTGCAATTTCGCGGGATTTCAGTTCTGTGGCGCTAGACAAAGCGACGTTTTGGGTGGAACATGTGGCCAGGCATGGGGGCGCAGCTCATTTCAGGCCCTCGATAGCAGACGCAAATCTTTTCCAATACCTCTGCTTGGATATCATCAGTATCTTTATGGCTGTTTTACTTGTGATCAGTTTTATTCTGTTTAAAGGCTGTGAGTCGGTAATAGAAATGGTGTCCAATTTTTCAATCGCTAAAGTAAAGAAATGTTAACTTTGCAAAGACTGTATTAATCCTTTATTTCATTCATTAGCGGATTTATACATGGAGAGAAAAATTTCATAAAATTGACGTAAAGTGCAGGTCATATGGATCTCTGAAAAATCGGATCGTGAATGCTACGACTTGAGGTCTCAGCCGCCAATTTTCAGGAAACATGTTTCAAATACTTCGGTTGAAACTTCTCGCATGAAGCTCATTTTATCATTAAAAAACTTACTGAATTCACAATTCCGCTTTCGAGTAAATTGCGATCTTGTGAACGGCGACTCTCCATTTTGCATGAGAATACGATGACAAAAGCAAGAAGACTTAAAAACCAGAGTCGGAACCAAGCGATTCGGCTCTCTTTTTTGAAATGAAGCTTACAGGCAAAAAAAAAATATCTTAGAACGCAAAATAGTGTTCTTCGGGCATTTTTCAAAATTACGACTCGGTTAAAGACTCCAAAATCATGTACATCTTTGGTCAGCATCTTTGTACAGGGTCACTCAGATAGGATACAGAGGAGCGCCTTCAACACACTGCGTAATCTTAATGCAAAATTCTGATACCACCACTCATGCCTCACGACAATCAATTTGCATAGCCACCTAGGTGAAGGCGTATCATGGGCTCAGGCAACAGGATACGTATTTCAGCAAATGTGATACGGGTTATGTCAGAAGCAAAATCTCCAGGGGTGCCCCACCTATAATTCAATAAGCTCAGCATCCCACGGTCCTCAACCTGGCATCCAAAAAGCCCAACCCCTCGGGGCTGCCCCCTCTAACATCTAAGAGGCCTAACCCCCGGGGATGCCCCACCTGACATCAAAGAAGACCAACCCTCCCGGGGGTGCCCCCTTGGCATCTAAGAAGCCCAATCCCTCGAAGCTGCCCCCTTGTCATAAAATAAGCCCGACCCTTCGGAGCTGCTCCCCCTGGCATCCAATAAGCCCAACCTCTCGAGGCTGCCCCCCTGTCATCCAAAAAGCCCAACCCCTCGGGGCTGCTCCCCCTGTCATCCAATAAGTCCAACCCCTCGGGGCTGCCCCCTGGCATCCAAGAGGCCAAACAAAGATAATGGGTTCCATCGTTTCTTTTTTTGACTATTACCGTTTCCGAGCCTTTTTTCCAATTTCGAACAGACTGTAATTTTAATTTTGTGCCCGACATAAAACTTAGGTATCCATAAAGAGTTAGGATGAGAATTCTATAGTGAGATGCTTCATTATATAAACTATCATGTGAATCCATGTTATTGAGGTTAGGACAAGAGTAGTTCCCCCCTTCCCCCCTCTTCATCCTCCTCGGTCCGCCAATTTTAATGGCGGCTCTATCTGGGCCGCTTTCTCATAGGCCATCACCGATCTATATTTTTTACATAATTTGGTCTAGTGCACGTAGATTTTTCCGTGATACAGTAGCAGCTTAACTAGCTGTGACGTATACCTGAAAAATCTACCATTTCATTCAGTGTCTACTCTTTTCCAAAAGCGGGTGAAATTGGGCACTGAAAATAATCCAACCCGATTAGAATATAATCAGCAGCTGGTTTGACATTGGTTTTGCTGTATGGAATTTAGATGTGAATACATGTTTTGCGGTAATATTATCGTACCCTGAATAACGGATATCTAGCTCGGAGAAAGAAACGGCAAAATTGAAACCCTAAGTACCTATACTTGTATTCATATCAAGAGGAAAGGCGAAAATACAATCTCCTGGAAGGGAAAGCCAGCTCAATTTTTGATTACTGCATCGGACCGCAGATAGCGCGGCGCTCGGTGGTAGTTTATGGCGAAGAGTGCTTTTTTAAACGCATTGTTGCCCGACTGTGCGGTGAATCATTCTTTTTCGGCATTACTTCATGGCAGGACTCACGACAAATCATCGGGTGTTGCAACCATGCTTTACGACCATTTGAACGGAACTGGCTAGAGTGGTGATTTCTTGCCGGGGATCTTGGCAGCAGGTTGCGAATTTGCAGCATCTGGTGGTCTCGTCCCTTGACCGCACAGTGGATCAAGGATCTCCCGGGGGATGAGATCGAGGGAGGGAAAAAAGGAAATGTCGCTTTGTAAAAGTGACCATGAAGCAAATATGTTACTCGTCCCCCTCATAAAATACATCAGAATAGATGACAGAATACACTATCATTAAATCTAATTCTAGAATTTATATATTCATATCCTTGAATTACTAAAAAATATATTCCTAATAAGATAGATATTATTAAGTGAATTCTTGAATTTTTAAATCTGTTTATGGTTAGATTATAATGAGCCCAAGTAATGAAAAATCCTGATATTAGTAAAATTATAGTGTTGTGCTGTCTTTATATTGAAATAAGCATTAATCAAAACAAAACGAAGAGGCCAATGATCCACAAGAATAGGCCGACCTCTGAAATTTATCGATGGCCGAAGTACGAAATCAGTGGCGTGGCGTGAACGATCGATTATCGATAGCTCGCCATTCGACGCTATGGTAAAGAATCGATTACCAAGGTGTTCGCTGCGAACACCCTGATAATCGATCTTTTTTCATAGGTTTGAGTGGTGTATCAATCGATATATCGCAAAGTACGCCACGCCACTGGTACGAAACCACGTATCTCCGCTTGCACGAAAAAAATGGGTTGCTGATTAAACAATAAAATTCTTAACAAACACGTCCGAAATGTTTCAAAAGTACTTTTTACAACAGTGGAAAGCTAATTTCACTACGGGGGTGTTTGATTTAGCATTTTTCATTGTAAAATCTACATTGAAACATGTCGGATACTTTTTACGGAACTAGAAAACTGTTGAATTAGCAATATCATTTTTTCGCGTGCAACGTTGCAGACTTCCTGTTATATTTTATGTTTTTGTTGAGGAACTAGTCGACGTAATTTTTTGAAAACTTTTTTGATTTTTCCTCTCTATAAACAGAAAATTCCGGATTAATTTCAAGGTAATCAGTTAGCTTGCTCTTTTTCATAAAAGTAAAATGGGAACAGACATTTTGATACATCGCAAAGGAGATACGTGGTATATCGCACTTTGGCCATTGACATATTTCTTCATCAAAATTTCAAGCTGATTATGTTGAACACATTGCACTTTTTCAAAATGAACTCAACACGGAAAAATTAACGTCCGAAGTTTACACAATGAATTCTACGTTTCAACTTAAGCCGGTTGAAAAAACATACTACTAAATATATCAAAAATTGAAAACAACCAAAATGTTAGGCAAATTACTGGAGCCTTGGTTATATTCATGGCTCCACCTCTGATACACAGCACCTCTAATATTGTCTAAAAAAATAAATGAATTAAATTAAATATCAATCACTGAATAGGTGTGTGAAATTTTGGAATATTTTTGTTAAAAGAGAAAAAATAACGCTATGCGATTTACGAAATTAAAACAATTCTTTTATAAATTAGAATGAAATGCGAAATTGTCATCGTCGTTAACTATGGAAACAGTTCCCAAGTTCCGAACTTCTATGATTCTGATTTCCTGATTCTGGTTTCTTTATTTCATTCAATTTGTTCGATAATGCATAGGTTATCACTGATCTCGAGTTACTTGGTCGGAAGTCTTGCATTCGGATTTATCTTTGATGCTTCTACATACCGACTGATAATTTGACGCACCGACGAAACCTTTTCTTATCATTGTGAAGTCAACAGTCGGAATCCTAACGTGGACAGTGGATGTCAAGTGACTATTTCTCTGACGATGCGAAGTAAGGTATCTGTGCGTGTCTAAGTTTCGAAAAGCTTTTATGCTTCGGCAAAAAAACACATCCCGTGAAACTCATAGTGAATGGACCACTAGACAAGGTACGAATTTAAGCATTCTGATTCATGTTCCTTAACCAGAATTTCACGTAAAACACGGTTCGCGCAACGAAAACGACTGAAACCAACTCCTAACAGAGATATTAGAAATTTTATTTCACATTCGTTACGAGGAATTTGAACTGCCCGCTCACAAGAAACTGAAAGCTCTACGTGAGTCAAATCGTGCATTACAACGTTTTCAGCAATTTTCTCAATCGAGTAGTATTCATTTCCCAACATGTGTTGTTCAAACTATAAGTAATTTGCTATAGCTGAGCCAAAGCGTCAAGATTGAGGTTGCCAGATTTTCTTATCTCAGAGACGTTCATGATAACGTTTAGCGCGCGATGTGAATTACGTAGAGCATTGTGTTTTCATGAGCGGGTGGTATCAATTCACGCAATGGAATTCAAATCTCACATTGGAAATACCAATTTTTGGCCATTTCAAGGGAAAAGGGTGACCATCCGATTTTGCGGTTTTCTTTTTTCTGTTCAATATACCTTTTATCAACAAGTTATATAAATATCCAAGCGTTATTCAGGTCGAAAAATATAAATTTTTCAGGGCAGGCTATGGAAAATCAGTATCTGAAAGTCGGTGAGAACGAAAACACACCAAGTCTGAAATTTTTAAACGCTTAATTCTCTGTCATCAAACATGATGTATCGATTTCAACTTGGTGCTTTACAAAGTCTCTCTGGTAAAAATTGGCAGTAGAATCTGTGTTCCAAAATATCATAGACCTAAAGCCGGCTGTAAGATTTCCAATAGCTTCTGTAGCCGGCTGTACAATCTATACTATATATCTTATAGCCTTTTATAGCCGATGGCGACTAAGCAAGAGTCAGACGATAAAGTTTATACTAAACGTTACTAAATACGGATACCAGGACTTAGTTAGTTTTTGGACTACCGCTCTCTTTTTGTGCCGTAGTATCTTGATTTATTTTGCGAGCCTGTCATTCTTAATATGTTGGAGCGCCTTCAAATTCTTATGATACTGTGCGATACCTCTGGTGTGAAATAGTTGCTTCAGATGCCGTGGCACGCTGCGGGCGGGCAGAGAGTGCGAAACGCGCATTGGCGCCTACAAACCTAACAGGGATACTTCACGCATTGCGCAATGCGTTAAGTATCCCTGTTAGGTTTGTAGGCGCCAGTGCGTTACCAGTGCCGCGCCGCTTGGTGTTATATTAGGCTCCAATATTTAATCTCGCGGAGTCCGCGTTTTTCAACTCATGATTTTGAAATTTTTGCACACTCTGTATGGGCTATTCTCATTTTAATTGATGAAAAAAAATATGTTTTAAAGGAAAATATAATGTGTATTTTGTAAATATTAAGGTAGTTCCGTATCAAACTTAATGATTTCCAAAGCACACGAATTTCTACAAAATTTCTTATACCCTTTTATAGCCAATGGCGATAAAGTGTAAAGCCCGGCGATAGGAACTATAGCCCGACTGTATACTTTTTTATAGCTTCGTATAGCCCGGCTATATGATTTGCTCCGCTTTCTACAGCCAGCTATATGATTTTCAATAGCCTTCTTTAGTTGGCTATAAGAACTATCCTATGGTATTTTGAAACACAGCTCCTATCGCCAATTTTTACCAGGGTTCTTAGTACTTGTCCTTTGGCACCAAAAAGGTTTTTCTGAAACTAACTTCTTCGCCCGCTGCGCAGTTTTTAGCGTTTCCTGAACAATTTTTTTTTCCGAGTTGGTGTGCTTTCGAACTCACTGATTCAATTAATGTTTTACTCTTTCAGAACTCCAGTTGTATAAACAAATACAAACAAGTTCAGAAAATAGATATCTGTAGACCCGTTGTTGATTAGCACATGGACATGATCCTGCGGTACATTTTGGGATGTTTACTCGTTTGCTGTGTCGCAGAAGGTTTCAAAATATTGGTTATATACCCGAGTCCTGCATTCAGCCATCAGCGTCCAATCATGGCCCTCACGGAGTATTTGGTTCAGAAAGGGCATGAGCTCTACGTGGTTAGCCCAAACCCCGTTCCCGTGAGTATATTGATATTCAATCTTATAAAACGCAAAACAGTTGAAAAGCACACGATATAAGAGTAAATAATTTTTCGGATCACGAAATCAAGTTTTTCTGGAGCTTAAAGGTCATGAAATCAAGTTTTTAAAATTTTATATTTACCCATTTATTCTTCAATAGTGAAAACTCAGTATACACATTTACAGATTATAAAGGGAAAGCCTTTTTAGAGTGAAAAAGTGAAAACTCAGTATCTGCAATGTTTTTGTTTTTCCCCACTTACGGGATTTTTCATCTTCGTTTACCTCGTCGAGAGAGAATGAGAATGCACACAAAGATCACGATCAAGATCACGCAATCACGTTTTTAATATGTATGTACATTTCTCCTTAAGTGGAGGTTTACATAGTTTATTTTATATTATATACTTTAAGTATAAGTTTTTATTACTTGATTTTGCCAGACGACGATATACGCGAAGTGTCACATCCGGCGTGTCTCTATGCATTTATTGTGCAATTTTTTCTAATAAATACTTTTTGAGAAAAAAAATATAAAAGATAAAAAATAAATAAATAAATAATTTCACGAGGTTCCAAGAAAAGTAACATTGTAGACACAGTAAGAGATAAAATCTGATTTTTAAGAATTTGTGAAGAGTAGCTCAGGACAAGTTTGGAAAAATAGTGTGCTATCATTCGAAAACGCCTTCTTTTGACCTCAATGAATATTGATCCCTAAAACTTTGACTCGAGCTTTGAAAGTCTCTACAAAAATATTTCCTTTGCAGGGCCTGGGACAGAATTCTAACTACACTTACGTTGACGTCTCATTTTCTTACAAATACTTCAGCGATGAAAAGAAAGAGGATACAGTCACGACTCAGGAAGATATGTCCAAGTGGGCGTTCGCAGAAATTTTCAAACCATTAGCCAACATAGCTGCAGCGCAATTCCAAAGCGAGGCTTTCATGCAGTTCCAGAGGTGAGTTGTGACGATAAGCAAGTTTCATCCAATTAAATCCGTGTCCAAGACTTTTTTCATAGCAGTGTCAAGTCGGTTTAAATTAGCCTGTATCAAAATACATTCACTTGGATACATTTTGAGGATTTATAAATGCCATTATAATGTTTTTGAGGGGAGTGTTTTTTTTTTTTTTAAATTTTCGCTGGAATAGAGATGTTGCATGTGTGAGGGGTTTGCGATTTGACCATTGATTCTTATGTAAAAGTTCGCGAAAAACACGATGGTGCCACTGGTTTTCTCTGAAATCATCTCCCAAGCTCAAAAAAAAGCCCTCAAAGTGAGACCAAAATGGAGGGGATAGACCGCGCTATCCTGAGAGTCCACCTATACATCAAAACAAAGTCTCCATGCAAAGATAGGGAGCAAATACATTAGCAGGGTTGTCGTGTTTTCAGTTTTGGAGTCCCCAAATAAAGTGGCATTCCTGTCAATGTATTTGCTCCCTATCTTTGCATGGAGAGTTTGTCTTGATGTAGAGGTAGACTTTCAGGGTATGGTGGGATATCTCCTCCATTTTGGCTTCAACTTGAGAGCTTTTTTGAGCTTGGGAGCGGATTTCAGAGAAAACCAGTGGCACCATCGTGTTTTTCGCGAACTTTTACATAAGAATCAATGGTCAAATCGCAAATCCCTCGCACATCCAACATCTCCATTATTCGTGCTTGATGAATGCCCGCGTTGCATCTGCAATATTGAAGGCGCAATGAAGCGAAGGGCCATTGAGCCAATCAGAGGTGGTGACCGAGGCGGCCATAATCTCCCTAACAAGGTTCTCGAAAAGTGAGCTCCTGACTTACTCGAGTTAGCTAATTTCATAAACACGTTTCCGTGGCAATCTTCCGTAATTCCAAGTTTAATTATTTCCCCATTCTAGGCGAATAGAATCCGAGAGCGTGTCATTCGATGTCGTCATCGTTGAGACCATTTTCACTCCTTACGCATGCCCGGTCACTTGGAAACTCACCGGATCCGCGCCGATCATCTCGATGTCAACCCTCTCGATGATCAACTCCGCGGAAGAGAGTCTCGGTAGCATCCCCCATTCGTCCTTCGTTCCCTCCTTGCTCAGCGATTACACGGACAGAATGAGCTTTTGGCAGAAGATAGAGAACTGGATATCCGATAGGTACATCTACAACGGTTTCAAGGATACGATGGAGGCCGCTGCCAGAAGATTTTCCGTGGAAACTTACGGCCCGGAATTTGAGAGTCTTGTCGACGGGTGTTGGAAAACGGTCAGCCTTTCCTTAATCGCTTCGAATTCTCTGTTTTTTTACCCGAGGCTCCTGGGTCCTAACGTCATTGAGGTCGGGCCTTTGCATCTTAAACCCCCCAGAAAGCTGCCAAAGGTAAGATTTCAACCATCAATTGGACGTATTTCTATCAAACGGAACTAAGCGCCAAATCGAGTTCCTTCTGAAGATTTTAGAATCCCGGATGGCGCGTTCTGTCAAACGGACCTAAGCGCCACGGAAAAGCATTGCGAGTATAGGAGGAGCGAGCATCGCGTTCCGCAACACCCGCCAATCCGAGCCCCCTTCTCCTTTCCTCCCCCTATGGCGCTTAGGTCCGTTTGATAGAAATACGTCCAATTTTAACTGGGAGTGGTTAAAGGTGATTCGATGGACGCCATATTTTGTGTCAGGACGGCATGCGATATATCGCATCAATCGGTTCCATTTTCTCAGCTACTCGTCATTTTTCTCCAATTTTGAGATCGCAATTCTGTTGTCAGGAGACTAAAGCACTCACTTACCAATTTCAACGAAAAAATTCAACGTAATAAAGGCGTGGTTTTTTTAGAGAGGAAATATCACATTCGAGTGCAGTTTCGATATCGGTATCGAATGCGATGTTTTCTCTCTGAAAAAAACACGTCTTTATTACGTTGACTTTCTTTGTTAAAATTGGTGAGTGCTTTAGTCTCCTGACAACAGATTCGCGATCTCAGAATTGGAGAAAAATGACGAGTAGCTGAAGAAATGGAACCAATTGATGCGACACATCGCATGGGGTTCTGACACAAAATATGGCGTCCATCGAATCACCTTAAAATGAACATATTTCTGCCAAATGAAACCATAGACGAGAGGGAAAGATGGGGTGTGCTCTAGAAAGCTGGATAAGAAACATTGTTAAAGTGGGCGTGATTCCCTTTGGAGAAATGGAAGAGCGAGATTTTACACTCTGTCACACGGAACTATGTGCCGACTGAATGCGGCACTCATGAGCCATGGGCATGTGACAAGAGCGTTGTTAACAGGGCTCATGAGTTAAAGCGGAAGACGCGGCTTTGTCGCCGATGACGTCACTGGCCTTTTATAATTCCCAATTATTCTTACGACCCTCGACTGACGAGCGCACCCCTTCTTTTCCACTTATCTCTGGTTCCGTTTGGCAGAAATACGTCCAAATATGAATTCAAAAATAAAGTCCAACATTTCTCCAACCCTTACGTCTACCGCCGGTCCGTTATTCTTGCCCGGACTGCGTTATAGTTATCCATGATGGAATCAGGAAAAAGGTTTTAAAGTGGAAATAAGTAATAATGAAAAGCATGACATACAGCTGAAAATGATACATTTTGTACAAAACCAAACAAAAAAAAAACCAACAAATTTTAAATATTTAGTCTTAGGGAGCAATGAGTTTATTATGCTGGTCCAAAAATCGTGTTTTGATGCTTGATTTGTAAAGACCAGCTGAAACTGATAACCCGTCCAAATATCGACTTTGGATGTTTTTATTAATCAAGATATCGCGCTTTGAAAAATTCGGATTATGACGTCATACATCGAGGTGGTGACACCGTTGGTTTCTTCCATCTTGCTTTCATCCGAGTTTCACGTTGAGTAACCAGTGCTAATGTGTGTTATTCTGACTGATTATGCAATATATGTGTAATATTGATCACTTGTTGTTCATTACTTAATTCTGAAATGATTGTAGGATTTACAAGACTGGCTGGACGGTGCGGAAAAAGGCGTTATTTATTTCAGCATGGGAAGCAATTTTAAAAGTAAATCTCTGTCCAAGACAGCTCGAGCCAACTTTTTCAAGTTTTTCGAGGGATTGCCTCCTGGATATCGGGCCCTTTGGAAAGACGAGGCTCAAAATATTCCAAAGCATGCGAGTAATATTTTAACTCGAGAGTGGTTTCCTCAAGAAAGCATATTAGGTACTGCCAAATTTTGAAAGTCATAAACAAAATAATGTGCAAAAAATCTAATTGAGGACATATGTTTATCAGAAACTGCTATTAATGTATAGTCAATCTTAAATATCAGCTACGATCAGTTCCCAAATGAACCGCGTTTAGCAGAATGGAACCAAGCCACATCAGTTCTCGCAAAATATAATTGGTCATTTAATGTTTGACATGTAAATGGTTGTGCAGAATTTTGTGAAAATCTCAGTGAATTTTTCGCATTTTAAGAAGCAAATTCCGTTACGTTTTCAAAGGCATCCGCAAAAACGTTCGCTTGTAAAAAAATAAATTGCTTGGTTAAATTTTGCAATAGTTGATGTGGCTTGGTTCCTTTCTGCTAAACGCAATCCAAATGATGGAATGGTTCTACAAGGGCATGATCCTTTTCTAACATACTCTATGAATATGCTGTTAAATGCAATCGTATTATTCATATGAATTGAACCAATTTATGCTGAGGCAGACTATCTATATCTATAGTATTCAATGCAGGTAAACTTCTTTTGGATGTAAAATGAGCTCTATTGAATCCAAGCCTCAAATTTTCTAAAATTGTTATGAACAGTATTCTAGGCTTTTTCCGTAAATTTTGCGTATAAAATAAGTGATTAGTAATTAAAGCAAGCTGAGAACTTAAAAAAATTGAGATAACCGGTTTTTGTGACGTATTTATTAAAAAAAAATAATACAAGGAGAACCGTTGTATATGAAACTGCATTGAACTTTTTATCATATTGCCGAGCTAAGGAAGAACGCCGTATGAACATTCGAGGGTTGCCAAATTTTCTCGGATAAAACATGTATTTCTGAAGAAAGCTTTGAATATTGTTCGAATGAAATTCTGAGATTGAAAAATCATGAAATTTTCCGATATTTTGGATTGAATTGCGAACAAAATCGTCTGAAAAATTTGAGGGGAAAAATTCACAATTTTCCTAGTAAATTCGTTTTTTGTCAAAGAAATGTGGCAACTTCTGAAGGCTTTTATGGCGTTTTCCTTTAGCACAGCAGCGTTGTATTTGTACACAATTCGCTTTTCTACAAAGAATATATCGACGGTGTAAGTCGGCAATCACATAACTCGGTTTGTGACGTCGCAGACTTCCTGTCATACTTTTATTTTTTAAATGGAAAACTACTAAACCGCAATTCTTTAAAACTGTCATGATTTTTCTTCTCTATGCGAAGAAAATTCTGGAAAAACTTCAAGAAATAATGTCAATTTGTTCTCCTTTGAAAAAATGACATAGAGGCGGAGATTTTCAGACACCGCAAACGAGTTATGTGATTGCCGACTTACACTGTCGATATGTATAAAGCACACCCTTACGTCAAAATGAAGTTATCGTTTCATTATGTTTTTCAGCACATCCTAAAATAAGAGTATTCATCACGCAAGGAGGTCTTCAGAGTTTTCAGGAGGCGGTTCACTATGGAGTTCCAATGGTTGGGATTCCATGGTATGGAGATCAAGCGAGTATGGTTTCAAAGATGGTGGATGCCAAAATTGGAGCCCGGTTACTTCCGAAAGAACTTGAGTCGTTTGAAAAAGTCAAATCCGTCATCGAGAGTGTTCTACACGGAGAGAGGTTAGAAGCACGCTTACACGGTCGTGCTAAGGAAGAACACCGTATGAGCCATCAGAAGTTGCCAAATTTTCTTCGAAAAAAGAAGAATTTGCAGGGGAATCTGTGGATGTTATTCCTCGCATTTTTCAGAGAATTTTGTTCGTAATTAGATCTGAAATGTCTGGAAATATAAATGAAACATCACTGGAAAAAAACACATTGGATCTAGAATCCAGACTCTTAAAAAATCGACAAGAACAAGTACTCTTGATTCAATCAGAATCTAGCTTAAATCAAGAACCAAGCCTCTTAATTTAAGCGGATTTCGTTTTGATTCAGGTAAAAATCCGATTGAATCAAGAGTACTTTTTCTTGTCAATGTTTTCAAGAGTTTGGACTCTAGATCCAATGTGTTTTTTTTCCAGTGATATTCACGACTTTTCTCAGCAAAAGACGTTCTATCGATGGAAATTTGGCAACTCTTGAATGTTCATACGGCGTTTTTCCTTAGCATGGCAGTATCATACTGAACAGCTTTTAATGATGATTAAGACGAAATTCGCCAGATCAGGGACTGCATCAGGTGTTGCTTAATTTTTTCTCATGTTGCGTTCCTATAAAAGCAAACCTAACATCATTCTGACTCAAAATTTGTGAGAAAATTGCTCGTAAAAAATTGAAAAATTGTGCGTAGAAAGTCTTAGCGCGTTATTTTTTTTATCTTCCTACAAAAATAAAGAAAAAATAAAAATAAATAAAGTAAAAGGAATGAATGAAAAATGGAAGAAAATTATTTAATTTGAGATGTAGTCAGGCTAATAATTCCTGAATGCGAAGCGAGTCCATTCCATATTTCATATTTCTGTATGTGCAAGAAAAAATGGATCGCTGATTTAACAATCGAATCGTTAAAAAATATGTCATGTTTCAAGTGTACATTTTACAATTGTAAAAAGCTATTTTAACCACGGGGCATTTAAATTAGCATTTTTTTTACTGTAAAATCTACATTGAAAACTGTCGGACAAGTTTTTTAACTACAACATTTTTAAATCAGCAAATTCATTCTTTTCCGTGTGTGCAAACCAATGAAACGTAATGTGGTGAGTAAGTAGAGCAGTGTCATTGCCCAAAAATCTAACAACCACCACTAAATTTCTGGCGCTGATTTATGCACCCAGTTTTTTTTTTACCAGCTGCCAATCTAGTCTCTTATCACATTTGCACACCTCAAGGGGCATTTTTCGCGACCTCTTTACAACATCTTTTTGATTAATATGAAACCATAAGAGTAACGCATAACGCATGCGCATAACGCCTGAAGCGCGAAGCTGTCAAGGGGTGTAACTCCCTGGTTTTCTTTACTTTCCAGTTTCATGCGTGAAATTTCTATTGTTTTACAGCATCTTGGAAAACATGCGTAAATACTCAGCGATATCGCGTGATTTAAGCTCAATTGCCTTGGAGGAAGCGACCTTTTGGGTGGAGCATGTGGCAAGACATGGCGGAGCAGATCACTTAAGACCTTCTACCGCTGACACGACCCTTTTCCACTTTCTCTGCCTTGACATCATTGCTGTCATTTTAGCCTTTACGCTTACCATTATTTTATTTTTCTATTACCTTTGTAAGCTTTTGTTTCGAGTATTCCTGGGCAAATCGACAAAAGCAAAATCAGCTTGATTTTTATCAATGAACTTCAATACATTACTATCGATGTCGCGTCGAACACTCTCTTACCCCACGAAAAGATATTGCCTCAATATCCAATATTGATGAGGGATGTTATTGCCAGTTGGTACCAGCAAAAAAAGAGACAATGCTTTTTTGCCTTTTGCTGGTTTTTTTACGCTCCGCTGTTTTTCGATCACTTGCATGACGTTTTTGGGTAATATCGCTTGTTAATCTACAAATTGCAATATTGCCAGGAGATATTGTATCAATATTTCTTGGGATCATCGCTTTACAGTATTATCAGCAATATTAATTTCTTCATCTAACTTCTGACTAGGGCCATGACCCTGTTTGTCTAGCCTCTAAATTAATAAAATATGATGGCGATGAGAGAGATCACTTAATACTCCGGGGATGAAAGGCGGCTCTGTGTCCATCTCTTTGGCGGTCGTCCGGGTCGCCTTTGGCTATGAGGTCGTCCTACCGTACAAATCTTGGCAAGCCTTTCCCCGTCCATCCACTCAACATGTTCCGACCAAATTTTCCGGCGCATCTTAATATTAATTTCTAGGAGTTAATCACGCCAATATATCATTCTCATCTAATAGGTAACTTTGCATCAACGTTGTCACCATGTTAACACATTGCCTAAACTTATCCTTCTCCTTAACTTTCTACTTCCTTGAGTGGAGTATCCTTTTATGCAAGAGAATAAAGACTGCGGTTTGTCAGGTAGTTCTTGAATCGGTTTTTACCGACGTGAGGTTGCCGGGACTATGTAATATTCCGTTTTGTTTAGACAGTGCTCTAATTAAAATAATGTATCTAATAATGGAGGTAATATTCTTCAATGCTATTAAAGACGACAATTTCTATGACTCTAAATCATACACACATTCCAACTCCACTAGTTGTAGAATTGGGCCTAACTAAGAGCCCTTAAAGCATTAGACTTTTTGTTGGGAATGAGTAGATAACGATCAGATTGTCTAATGTTATGAGCAAACATTCTAAGAATATGCAACATTTGAGAATTGCTTATTCTTATGCGGAATTGGCATGCAAGAAGCTAAATTATATGAAGATCGAAACATAAAGCATGTACAAGAAATACTAAAATATAATATTTTTAAAACAATAATATTTGGATTATTTCATTAATAAGACATATTATCCTAATGAACGTGACATCGTTAGGATTACATGACTACCCTAGAACATGACTGCACTCAAATTCATTTAAAGTCCGTCCTATTTTTAAAACTCTCTTTTGACTGTGAGACGAAAGCTTTGACAGTTGAACAGGAATCCTTCAAAATCATGGACAAGTTTTACATGTTCGTACATGTTACAATATACACATGTTTCTTGTTGTAATTTCGTTTAATAAAGCCACCAGTTTGGCGCAAAAGTCACATTTAATGACTTGCCTATACTCTATTCGGCAACGACAAAAGATGATTGAAATTAATAGCTGGGGCAGGCTGGTGGTATCCAAGAATTTTGAAGGATTTCTAAGTCGAGGTGTACTCCCGATATACGCACCCGTTGGAAATGACATGTCAGTTTACCATATTTCAAATAATCAAAATTTCTGATGAAAGGGTCTTCTCCCTGACATATCCTTCACTTTTTCCAGATACAGGTTCACGGTCAACGGATCGTCATTGACCATTGACCAATGCAACTTTACAGTGTATTCTCGGTTAATTGAAAACATTAACCTATCTTCCTTATGACCATTTGTCCATTAAAGAAGACCGGTTAACTTTGATTATCATTTATTCTCATTGTTAAGAAGGCTCAATGAATGAATTGCGAATAGAAACAATGGGCCTCACAGTTAGAGAAAATCGCGAAGAATAATTCAGCGGGCGGAAGAGAGGTGCCAAATTGCGGAAAATTCCATACCGCGAGTAGAATCAGTGGGCCTCTGGATCTTGGAAAATTGAAGATTCGCCGCGGATATTTTTAACAAAATGGTGATTTTTTTATAAAAATGTTTGTGCACGATATTTACCATCCGTTTGGGGATCAAGATTTTGCGCGCTTAGTTTTGCAAAAAACTAGTGATAACGTAAAGTACTAAGGTACGGACCTGATAAAACACGGACTGTGTTCAAAGACATTTAAGCAAAATTGGAAAAATGTAGATATGTGGTTTAATTTCTAATGTTTAATTTTGTATAGTCCTATGCTCCATAAGCAGGAAATTCACGAGCTATATACAAATCTTCCAGTGTTCGTTTTAGCAAAGAATCAGATAATTCAGAAAAATTTGACTAGCAGCACTGAAAGACGACAGATAAATTGACTATGTAAGTCCGTAACCACGTACATCGACTACCACGTTTGCGAAGTGGAATACTTCCTGTCATACTTCATATTTTTGAATGGAAAATTACTCAATGGCATTTCCTAAAAACTGCCGTGATTTTTCTTCCCTGGAAAAAGAAAATTCTGCGAAAACTTCACGGAATGATGTCGTTTCTCCTTTGGAAAAATAAAATAAGAGCGGAGATTTTCGAACCCGCATATGTAATACGTGGTTCCGGACTCACACCGTCGGTATACGGATTTTCCAGTCTCCGTTTAAGGAAAAAATCCGAAAATGTAGAAAACTTTGACTGGCATCACTTAAAGACAGATAAATACCGTTTGTTCCGTGGCAGACGTGCAAAACTGCATTAGTGTATAGGACCTGTGTAATCTGCTGACAATCTCACATTTTCTTTTATCCAGTTTTGCCCGTTGGGAGAATGTTGTCTACTTGAAATTTTCTTTAAACGTTGTAAAGTGCAGTCTGCATGAAGTATTCACTTGACTGAGCTCTTTGTGCCGTCTCTTTTAGACGGTATCATTATTGTTTTAACTAGTCGTATTCAAACATGGAAAGTGAAAGAAGAGAGAAGGTAGCTCTAATTCAAGCAATTGGTACAGCGAACCCACCTACCTGCTACCATCAGGACGATTACCCGGAGCTTTATTTTGAACTTACCAAGAGCCAGCATTTGCCACATTTGAAAGACAAATTAAAACGAATATGTAAGTTTACACAATTGAAAATTCCTGACTTCGTTCCTTTTTGTACCAGCTTCATTACTGGGCTTACTAAAAAAATCCTTTCGCCTTCCTTTTTAGCTAAACACGGAAAAAAATTAAATTGCTGATTCAACAATTCAATTGCTAAAAACAGTGAGTGCAACACTGAAAAAAATAGTTCTGTTCACAGGGCTCCTGCACTTCTTTTTAACAGTCACAGAAGCCTCCGATATGGGGACAGAGCACTCTGCTCCCGCGACCGAAGTTCTGTTCTCACAACAGACAAATTCTGCAAGTGTGACAAAGAAACTGCAGGAGCCCTGTGAACAGAAGGTTCTATCGTCAGCACCATCTATTTTTTCTGTGAATGTTTCAATGTAGGTTTTACAACAAAAAAATGCTACTTTAACCACCCCCGTGGTTAAATTAGTTTACAATGTGGTTAGAGTAGCATTTTTTTGTTGTAAAATCTACGTTGAAACATTGCTCTCACTGTTTTTAGCAATTGAATTGTTGAATCAGCAATTTATTTTTTTCCGTGAAGGTAGAATCTAATGCTATTAGATGACAGTGATCAGACGAACTGCATTTTGCAATTGGGAGCTATCTCGTTTGAGGAGCAACTTACGTGCCGTTACTTACCCCATGCAGATAGATGTTTTTTTGATGAGAGAGATATTATAGTGCCCATTGCAAGATTTAGTCCGAACAGCCATATTCAAGAGCATATGTGAACCGTGAGCCGTGAGCCGTACATCAATCTCTTGTTTTGATGTCGAGAAAAGGGAAATTGGTGATGGTCATCTCAAATTCATACCAACTCCTCCAAACTCAAGATATCAGCCATAATAGCGGTTTTATGGGGGGAAAATTTCTGTTTCAAAACACATAGTTTAATATGCTCATTCTTATGTATATTCGACCTGAAAATCTAAATTAATTGTCAAAAATATTCTAAAGGCCATTGTAAGGTCTAAATCTAATATGGCGGCTGAAAATTGCATTAAGGGGTGAATAATGCACATTGTTCCGAAGAGCTTCAGGTGCGCAATTAGCGGTGAAATCATTAGGTTTTCTAATTTGTAGAGTCGTAAGATGAGGTGATTCTTGAGCTGCAACTACTCAAAAACTCAATAATTCAAGATGACGGCCAGTGAATGCGTGCAATCATATCAGGAAAGCGTAAAAGCAAAAATGTGCGAACGAAAAAAAAAATTGAAAATGCGTTCCAAGAACTAACAATTTTGTCTGTTTCGATGAGTATTTTAAACTTGCTTCATGAGCTCAAACTGATTTCCGAGTAATTTTACCGATTGAAAATATAGTCAGCCTGAAATGTGTGTATCTCTGTGTACTTGAAGACCTAATGAGCATACCTAATAAATTGAGCATCGGACCCCAAAAATACTAGGAATCTATGGGGAACAAAGCAGAACGCGCTTTCAAAACTAATGCCACTGTCCACTGAGCGCAAAGCTAAACTTACAACCGGGAAAGTAAAAACGCCTTCATTTTTCGATACGCAACACGGACAACCTATGGGAACTCGAATAGTTGCATCCAGGCGCCTTAAAAATGAACCTACTCCTCTCCAAACGCTTTGATTGTCAATCAGCAGAGGACATAATGGGTCATCTTAAAGGCGCCTGGGTGCAACTATTCGTGTTCATAGGTTGTCCGTGTTGCGTATCAAAAAATGAAGGCGTTTTTACTTTCCCGGTTCCAAAATTAGTTTTGCGCTCAGTGGACAGTGATTAGTTTTGAAATCGCGTTCTGTCCAGTTCCCCATAGTTTAATGACATTCAATTTATTGGGTCTTCAAGTACACAGAAATAGGCATTTCAGACTGACTATATTTTCTATCGGTAAAACTACTCGGAAATCAGTTTGCGCATCAAAACGGACGAATTGGGTGGTTGTTGGAATGAATTATCAATTTTTTTTTGTTCACACATTTTGCGCTGATGCTTTCCTGATATTTGCACGTATTCACTGGTCATCATCGTTAATTATTGAGTTCTCAGTGAGTTTCAGGCTCAAAAATGATCTCATTTTCGGACTCCACAACTTAGAAAACCTGATAATTTCACCCATAGTTGTGCACCTGAAGCTGTTAGGAACAATATTCATTGTTCACCCCTTAATCTTATTTCATCCATTTAACTAAACCACTCTGTTGTATGTACAACGAACGAATGTTACTCGTAGAGAGTTAGAGTACCTTTATAGACAGAGTATGGCCATTTCTGTGCCGGTTTTCATTGGTCGCGAAAAAGTAGGCTGACATGATGTTCTTACGGCCGTAAATAAACAAACAAAATGGCTGTTATCAGCGCACAAATTTGAGGTTATAGACATCTTACATGCTTCTGTGATAAAGGCGAAAGAAGATTTAACAGTGTTTTCATGCGTTATTCGTAGTTATGCTACTTAAAAATGTTTATTGAAACTTTAGTCAAATTTTGGTTTCTTATCAATGTTACGGCGGGTCGCCATCTTGTTTGTTTATTTACGGCCGTAAGAGCATCATGAAGCCTCAAAACTCGTTGACCAATCAAATAGCGGCACAGTTTTCCTGTAGTTATAAAATACGAATGGCCATACTCTGTCTAAAAAGGTGCTCTAGAGAGTCATCACCTCATCTACCATTTGATCCGACAGGTGTAAATTCGAAAATTAAAAAAAGGTACATGCTCCCAATGAAGGAGATTGTTGAAAAGAACCCTAACATCCGTACATACGGAGCGCCATCCCTGGATGCTCGTCAAGATATTCTTGTAGAAGAAGTGCCGAAGCTCGCCATGGAAGCGGCGATGAAAGCCATCGAAGAATGGGGCGAACCCGCGGCGAGTATCACGCACCTCGTATTTTGCACGTCGTCTGAAATAAGCGCGCCTAGTGCTGATCGTCGCCTGGCTAAACTTATAGGACTTAAACCATCGGTTCAAGTAAGTGCGTATATAACAATACTGGTAGTAAAATAAACATTTTTAAGAGTAACTTAGCATATTTGTTCATTTACACATTTAGTAAAAATTATTAATATATGAGGCAATTTCTATCATTATATCATTGTATCGTGAATCTAATGCGGTCTAGTGAGTTCTAACGGTAAAACATGGTTATGAACATTTAAAACTTAAGTTTCCTTGAAGTCAAGCTGGACGTTTTTATATGCTAAAAGGAACTGCGTGCAAGTGGAAAGATGGGGGTGTGGTCGTGGAAGCTGCTTAAGAAACTTCTTCATATAGCTTCTAACTATGTAAAAGTAAAAAGTTTACTAAAGTTTTAGACTAAATAAAATACAACTTGGTGGCTTACACTATATATAAACCCGATTAAATTTCTCTAGAATAAAGGGTCAGTAAAACAGAAAAAACTAAAGATTTAATAAAGCTTGTATGTAAATTTGGATATAGTTCCTTTTGAGAAAATGGAAAAGCAGGATTTTACATTAAATCAAAAGGAACTGAGTGCTAACTCGTGAGCCGTGAGCATGCGATAAGAGCGTTGTGGACAGGACTTATGAGTTAAAAGAGTCCCGCCGCCGATCTCTTCGTCCTGCCCGGTCTCAGTGTTCACCGCTGACGTCACTGGCGCTTTTAAAGTCACATTCATTTTTATGGCCCTCAACGAAAGAGTACACCCCATCTTCTCACTTGCACATAGTTCCATTTTGCATAAATACGTCCAGTTGTTGCTCAGGGTCTACGGCAAGGACAGAAAGTCTAAAACACGTAAAAAGTTATTTGAACCAACCCTGGGACCACATTAATTATTCCAGATCTTCACGTAACACTTTCAGAAATTCATAATCTACCAGCAAGGTTGCTACGCCGGCGGGACTGCGCTCCGCCTAGCCAAAGACGTGGTCGAGAACAACCAAGACGCTAATGTTCTCGTCGTTTGCTGCGAAATCTACAGCCTTTGTCGTTTCCAAGGACCCTCTGAGACCCGAATGGACGTGCTAGTTGGGGCGGCGCTGATGGGGGATGGGGCTGCCGCTGTGATTATTAGTGGGGGCAACGGCGGAGATAACTCCGATTCCTCGAGAGGCCAATCGCCCGCCCTGTTTGAAATCGTATCAGCCACCCAGACAGAGATCTTAGATACGGAGGATGTTATTGGATTTGTTACATGCGAAGCGGGGGTTCGCGTCTCTTGGAGCAAAGTTGCGCCCAAGGTGATCATCAGAATTTCATTTGACTTTTTTGCGACTTTTAGATTTTTTTTTTCATTCAATGACCGATTACGATTGAATCAGTGAGAACGAAAACACATACCAACTCAGAAAAATGAAAATAATCAAGACACTCGCAAAACTGCACAGTAGGCGGAGAAGTTAGTTGAAGAAAAAGATTTTTGCTGCTGCCGAAAGACAAGTATTTATGGAGACTTAAAAGGTCTAAGTTGGAGCAGATGCGCTAACTGCAATGAACTTTATGTAAATTAATTGTCTCTGATGGAAATTAAGCATTTTCGAGTTAGGTGTGTTTTTGTTCTCACTGATTCAATTGATTCTGGAGAAATTTTTCCCATAGCGTCCGATTCTGAGGACCAACATTCCCTAGGACTGGAATTTAGGCCTCAAAAGCAAGATTGCTGTCCAAAAAACCTCTAAATGATCCTCTCAAGAATGAAAGATTTGAATTTCACGGATATAGGCCGTTGGGGTATATCCTCTTGTAAGAAAGAATTCTCTGTAAACATGTGCAGAACTCACAAGTACTTAAACGATTTTTACAGTTCCTGAACGCACGTACATCTTGAAATTTTCGGCACGTCATTAAAAATTGAATTTTTAAAATGTCAACATTTAAATGTACGAGAGGCATTTGAAGAGGAAGGTACAATGAGAGTTCGTGATGGATCTGAAGAGTAATCCTTGCCAAACTATTGACAACCCGTGAACTCCTCTCCATAAATTTACAGAATTCCGTAAACTCTCAAAATTTGACTACTGGCCTAGTTGACTTATTTTCTTCCACATTGGACCGCGTTTAACAGAAAAGAACCAAACCACATCAGCTTTTGCCAAATTTAACTTGGTAATTTAATTTTTTACGAGAGAACGATAGTGCGGATCCCGCAAACCCGTTTTCATGTAAAAAATTATATTGCTCAATTAAATTTGGCAATAGATGATATGGCTTGGTTCCATTTTGTTAAACGCAGTCCCATCCACATGTCTACCGCAATCAGTTTGTGTTCAATATTTAAGGTGGTTGCTGAGAACATCGAGCAGTGCTTGGCCGAAACCTTCGCTCCGTTGAGCGTGGAGAACTGGAACGAGCTTTTTTACGCGGTGCACACCGGAGGCGCAGCCATTTTACGAGGGATGCAAGAGAAACTCGGCTTAGCGGAGGGAAAGCTCGATGCAAGCTGGAGTGTGCTGAGTGATTACGGGAACATGGGCTCTCCATGCGTCCTCTTCGTCCTGGATGCACTCAGGAAGAAGTCGATGGATGAAGGGAGAAGCACTACAGGCGATGGGCTGGAGATGGGCGTGCTCGTAGGGTTTGGACCAGGTCTCACCGTCGAGACGGTGGCGCTTAAGAGTGTTCCTTTGAAAGCGACCAAGAAATAACATATATGATGGGGTAATAAATGTGTCCTATTTTAAGCGAATTTTATTCAGAGGCTTTGTACTACTTTTGTGCCCGAACCTCAGAGCATTTTATTTGAGTTCGGAACTTCCTATTCGGTGACTAACAAATCGCAACGTTGTTGCGAGAGTTTGATACCACCTTGCGAGGTGGTTCTAAAAAGGTTCAACCTATCGAGAACCAATAAATCTGATTGGTCGAATCTGGTAACAACAATGTCCACTCTGCATTGCTGAGGAAGAAAGCCGTATGAACATTCGAGAGTTGCGAAATTTCCTTCGATAAAATGTTCTTTTTGAGGAAAGTTATGAATATTTTTCCTTGAAATTTTCAGGAACTATAGGTGAAATCTCGAGGAAAAGTATCTGAAAAATTGGACAGAAGATATTCATAAATTTACCAAGAAATTGGTGTTTTATCATGGGAAATTCGGCAACGCCTGGAAGCCCACACGGCGTTTTTCCTTAGCACGGTAGCACTGGTGTTGGTGATTGATGAGACAAACCAGGACAAAAACTCCCAAAGAGGTTCGGAAATTTAAATAAAATTCGCTTTCCGACTCTTTGAAATGTGGAAATCCCCATAGAACGAATGCGGATCGTTAGTTTTCAAAGTGGCGACGCAGAGTGGGACGGAGTCAATAGAAGAAGTCGGACAAAATTTGGAAACTTTTAAAGCTTTTAATTCCATTAAAGTAATACTTTGAAGTTCTAAAAGAGGCGCCATTGGTTTCCCAGTAAAATTTTCTACTGAAGCATCCATTGAAATTTAAAATGTGACGAAATAAACATCAAAATTTGAAAGTTTTAGTCAAAACTGCATGTCCGACCTCTTTCAGTGACTCGATGTATAGTGCGGCGCAGGGGCTGGTCGTTGTTCCCCCAGATACAATACCGAGGGGATAGCCTGATCCGGGAAATGTGAAGGAAATATTAGTTTTCTTGGATAACGCACTAATAAAACCAAAATATGAGTCAAATTTCACTAAGCCATTCCGCCTTGATGTCTAGTTCTTGGATTTTCGCCATTGATATATATTCCAGAGCAAAATGAAAAAGTCAACAGCACGCAGTGTTCCCAAGCGGTCTCCCATCTAAGTACTAACTACGCCCGACGTTGCTTAACTTCGGTGATCGGACGAGAACCGGTGCTTTCAACGTGGTATGGCCGTTGACGAACGGTCTTGTCGTCGTTTTTCGTGATACGAAGTCGAGAAAACGATTTGATTCGACAAACTCTACCGATAGGTTCGTTTATAATGGACCGTGTTAAGTAGAAAGAAACGAAGCTACATCAGCTTTTGCCAAATTTAATCGGAAAATTTAATTTTTGACAGGAAGACGATTGTGCGGATTTTCTTGAAAATTTCAGTGAATTTTCTCCATAGTACGAAGCAAATTCCTACAATTTTCAGAGGAATCCGCACAAGCGTTCCCTCATAAAAAATTAAATTGCCGTGTTTAATATGGCTGTAGCTGATGTGGCTTAGTTCATCTCTAATAAATGGGGTCTAAATGACATTTCGTTGCTCCCCGGACGAAAGGGCGTAACTCCATTCCAGAGTTGCGAAATTGACCGAAACAATTCAATTTTTGCGAGAATATACCTGCGCAATTTTGGACTAGAACTCATCTAATTTTTCCAAAAAATCAGATGAAAAATTGGTGAGGCTTTCCGTTACACGTACTCAAGATTTTTCTTGTAAAAATGCAATTTACGAAGTGAAATGGCAATATTGATGTGTATTTACGTTCAGTCGTGAGGGAAACAACGATTCCAGAGCTCCCTGCTTCAAAAACGGACAGTGCCATAATTTGATTCAGACAAGTCACCCTGGTTTCACAACTTTACGCAAATTTTCGTCCGTCGGATTGAAAGGGACACTAGGAAACAAAGTCACACAGAGATGACGTTTGCAAAACACCGTGGTGACTTTTTCTCTGTACATATTGAGGAGATAGCTCCCCTCAATGGAGATGTCGCATGTGTGAGGAATTTGCGATATGACTGTTGATTCTTGTGTAAAAGTTCGCGGGAAACACGATGGTGCCACTGGTTTTCTCTGAAATCAACTCCCAAGCTCAAAAAAAAACCCCAAGTTGAGGCCAAAATGGAGGGGATATCCCACACTATTTTGAGAGTCCACCTCTACATCAAAACAAACTCTCCATGCAAATATAGGGAGCAAATATACCTGCCACTTTATTTGGGGACTCCAAAACTGAAAACACGGCAACCCTGCTAATGTATGTGCTCCCTATCTTTGCATTGAGAGTTTGTTTTGATGTAGAGGTGGACTCTCAGGGTAGGGTGGGATATCCCCTCCATTTTGGCCTCAACTTGAGAGCTTTTTTTGAGCTTGGGAGTTGATTTCAGAGAAAACCAGTGGCACCATCGTGTTTCTCGCGAACCTTTACATAAGAATCCATAGTCAAATCGCAAATTCCTCACACATGCAACATCTCCATTTCACGAATTTGCCTCTGGTGGATGGTCCGTCGGTGCAACTCGTATTTGTGAAACCCCTTGACCGCAATCGGTAGTGGTGGCAAGGAATGAGGGGAACCACTTCAACATCACTCACTCTGATGATACGCAAACAAACGCTCCATACACACCTATCCCACCCATACTCGCTTCATTTACCTCCGACATCAAACCCAAAATAAGACTCCCTGTTTCCATTTAAAAGCTGAATTTGTAATGTCGCATGGGTGGGGGGGGAGGGGGTTGGGAGACGGATTCAAGAACACGCACAACAAGGACTATACATGGATTGCATTTCGCAAAAAGGAATCAGAAGAATAGCAATGATGCTAAGTTTGTGCATTTTCATCCTTTGCAATGAAATTACTGAAACGATGAAAAAATAAATAATTTACAGGGTAATTTTTGTCCTAAATTTACAGTTTTTAGCGAGTAAATTAGAGACTGTTAATAGATAATCAGGGTTTTCTTCCAAGACAAAAGAAATTGCTCAATTTTAGCAAAATTGCAATGCTCCTGGTTCCTTTTTGCAAAATGCAATCCACATGTGAATCGCAAAAACACAAGACATAAAAAGGAAACACAATCTAAACTCAATCAAAAACCTAGTATACAAAATTTAAAAACGTATTTTTAAAGTATAAAAACAGATTTATATTCTTATTTAGGAGTAATTGTGTGAAATAAAATTTAAAAAAAAAATGCTAGCTCATTATAGAGCAAGCAACTTTTTTATGATCTTATTTTTATGTTACTTCATTGATTTTGTTATTTCTTGCTTTTACAAATTCTATTTAATATTTGAATCTTTAACTCTATATCGACGGCGAAAGTCCGCAATCACGTATCTCGTTTGCGGTGTCTGAAAATCTCCGCCTCTATGTTATTCTTTTAAGGCAGAACACATTGACATCATTCCTTGAAGTTTATGCAGAATTTTTTTCGCACAGAGAAGGAAAATCTTGGCAGTTTTGAAAAACTCCATTGAGTATGAGTAGTTTTCCGTTCAAAAATAAAGTATGACGGGAAGTCTGCGACTTCGCAATCGCAATCTTCGAGTTATGTGATTGCCGACTTACACCGCTGATATTTTCCAGATAATTGCAAGTTCTAGAATCAGTCTGAACTATCCTATCATTAATTATCCTAAGTTCCCTGGTAAAAATTGGCAGTAGAATGTGTGTTCCAAAATATTATAGAACTTAAACCGGCTAAAAGATTTCCAATTGCTTCTGTAGCCGGCTGTACAATTTCTTTTAGCCTTTATAGCCGATGGCGATTAAGCAACAGCCAGACGATAAAGCGTATGCTAAACGTTACTAATTACGCATGCTAGAACTTAGTGAGTTTTTGGACTACCGCTCTCTTTTATGGCCGTAGTATCTTGATTTATTTTGCGAGGAAAGCCCCGTACTATTGAAAGATGCCTGCCATTCCTAATATGTTGGAGCGCCTTCAATTTCGTATGATACTGTGCGATACTTCTAGTGTGAAATAGTTGCTTCAAGCGCCGCGGTACGCTGCGGCGCGGCGCGGCGGGTGGGCAGTCAGCGCTGAACGTGCATTAGCGCCTACAAACCTAACAGGGATACTTCACGCATTGCGCAATGCGTGAAGTATCCCTGTTAGGTTTGTAGGCGCCTGTGCGCCGCCGCTCCGCTTTGTGTCAGCGTTTTTCAACTCATGACTTTGAAATGTTTGCACACTCTGTACGGATTATTCTCATTTTAATTGATGAAAAAAAATATGTAGTAAAGGAAAATATTATGTGCGTTTTGTAAATATTAGGGTAATTCCGTACAAACTTAAGGATTTACAAAGCACAAGAATTTCTACACAATTTCTTATAGCCTTTAATAATCGATGGCGAAAAAGCAACAGCCAGGCGATAAAGTGTGAAGCCCGGCGATGGGAACTATAGCCCGGATGTATAATTTTTTATCGCTTCGTGTAGCCCGGCCGTGCAAATTTTTATGATTATTTCGTCACATTTTTAATTTCAAGGGGTGCTTACAAAAGAAAATCTCACAAGGGAAGCAATGGAGCCACTTTTAGAAAATCGTGGTTTTGTATGAGCGGAGTTATAAGCGTTTAAAGTTTCCGAATTTTGTCCGACCTCTCCTATTGACTCGATCCTCTGCGCACCGTGTATGCTTCACGTGATAAGCTGGCGTTACACCATCAAATCAAGCCGTCGCATCCTCAAGGTCAGTTGTTGTGATGGCTTGTTCGATGACTTGGACCAATCTCAGCACTTGACCTCTATATACTGATTGCACAGTTTGATCGTGTGACATCGGCTAAAATTGCGCGATTTTCCCTCCAAAGTGTGCTCGGTTGGTTGTATCTCTTGTATTTGAAGGGGCTCGTCTCATCCGGGAGTCAGAACGACCGTTCGGTAGAGTTCAATTTTACTCAAATCGGCAAATGGACCGTGCTAAGCAGAAAGGAACCTAGCCTCATCAGCTATTGCCAAGTTTAACCAGGCAATTACATTTTTAACACAAAAACGGTTGTGTGGATTTATGTGTAAATTTCTG